GCATTTGAATAGATTTAACAACAAGTAAGGCAATAGATGGATTAGCATATGAACTATGATTCTCTTTAGGTAGAAAAAGATCCACGATGTTCGACCTGGTAGAAGTGCACAGCATTGGTCTTTGATTGACTGTGGCGTCAAAACAAACTCATTCATGTACTTGATCTGAATGTTCATCTTAATTGTTATGGATAGTCACGGAATCGTGATCCAGAGAACAGGGTGTCATTAGATAAAAATGAAGTAATAATAGGATTACCAGAAAAACGGTGTATAACACCCAAGCCAATAACCTTCCCTCAGGAACACCAGAGTAAGTCAGTACAAGATTGAAAACTGCCCCATAAGTATATATGACAGGCTAGTCGGGTATTGCTACTTGTATATGTGAAAACAAAGTTATTAAAATTAATAGCAAAACTGATGAAAGTCACCAATAAACGTGTATAAGTGTTATATCGTCACTGCAAAAATAAAGAGTGTTGTCTTTAGTATTAACATTCAAATACGTGATATCTGTATTAGCGATATTGTCTACATTCCACCGGTGAGTAAGCGTTAGCCTTACTATCTCGTAGTATAAATGTTGCAAGAAATTGTATTTCTGAAGACATCACGATACAGTTTTTTACGATGCATCACGTCTGCACCAGCGCTTGATAACAGCCTTGTGTTTGGGTGTTTCAGTAGTTTAAATTGCTGTTCTTGATGTTGTTGAATAAACTTTGATACTATGAACAATATAAGGTTATATGAGAGTATGACTTTAGAATGGTAACATGCGTTAATGTATATCTGATATAAATATAATATATATATATAATAGGATGACATAAATAGAACAATGACTAGTACGTCCAGATTAGTGTATAGGCAACATTTAAAAGTAGATGAAAGAACACAATCGTCCGGAATACAATGTATAATTCTGGTGCACTTCTATGTGACTATATAGCATACAATAAGCTTTCGGGTCCCGTTTGGGTCTGTTTGGGTGGCAGCTTAGATATCCATAGAGTAGGTTCATCTCGGAATCTCCCATATAACTGGGGCTCCACTTCAATTTAAATGGAGTTACTTGTTTCTTTCAAAACTATACAGTTTTAGTGACTAAGCATTAGTCTGAATAGATATCACCAGTTTGGAATTTGAAACTAATCTGTTTACAGTAACAGAACACTGTTTAAGTGTCATGTACAAATGAGAAAGTGGAATCCCGTCAATTAGCCGGACGAACCTATTAATAAACATTAAAATAAGCAATATCTGGAAAATGTATATGCATATACTATCTGGCAATAAACACCAAGATCACCTTCTACAAAAATAAGTTTTAAAAGCCGGTTGATATTCTTTTGCGTATTTGACGATTATAGAACTTTCGAAAGTATAAATCCTTTTCCTATACTCAGACGTTCCTGAGCCTTGCGCTTTCCTAATTATTTTGACTAAAATTTGTTAATGGGAAATACGCGTGGATCAAGTACGTGCCATAAATTAAAGCGACATTGTACGATTCCGAACTCATCACCAGACTGTGTTTGTGAATCACTGTCAAATAGTGGTGACATATAGTGGAAACAATACGCGAAATCGCGCATGCACAGAACGGAAATTTGGACAAGGCATTAAGCAATCCGCATGCGAAGAACGATTGATTTCAGTACTTCCGCTAAGCGCTTCGAGTACAGCGTCAAACTCGGGCCTGTAATCTAACACGCGAGAACTGACCAATGAAATCTGAGAAGTAGGAATACCGGTAGACGCTGTTGCTTGATTGACAATGCGAATCAAGAAAGGGAGGAGCTTGATGATATCGTTCTCTCCCAGTAAATTCCGATGTCAAATAACGACGTTATTTGGCCGGAAAAACGATGGTTTGAAAGTGTCCAAATAACGTTGTTTTTCTGTCCAATGACCATATACGAAAAAAAAAGACGTTTTCGTGTTTGCAGTGATTAGCAAATCAATGAGGTATCAGTTTCACCACATGTGCACAGACCGCCTATCCTTATATATATATTTTTCATAACTATTCTCCAGTTAAAGTCCTATCCTCTTATCAAAAAATCTGTGAGAGTGATCATCATTAACGAAACTCATTCTCGTCAAAGAATACAGAACAAATAAAGAATAAGATGCATACATTTATTGCCATGCTTCATTCATCACGAAGTAGATTTACATACATTTGTGAATAGCACTTAAACTGTGATAATGAATTTTACCATTGTCCATATTATATTATAAATATTAACCATAATATGGATTTCCGAATATATAAACGACTCCAACGTTGATATTTCAGACAAAAACAAAGTCAGCTGTCTTTTAACGTTCAGGGGAAAAGGGTTTGCTTTCACAATTGAACATTTGTTTTCACCAAAGGACAATCAAATCAAGCCAAAAACACGAAAAATACACATATATGGTTAGAGACCGTCATTATACAGCGAGGGGGGGAATTCTTCTGCTCTAACTGCCTTCACAAAAACATTCCAGCCCTTAGTTACCGAGGCAGCTGTGACATAGTAGCATTACATTCGCTGCGTTTGCAGCATATAAGATGTGTAATCTGTGGAGTGACTAAAGTAATATTACGACTGAAATCTTACTTGCATGGTTGTTTTAATAGAAAACTTACGGTTTAAAAACACAATTGTTCTTATATAATGTTTTTAGGTTTGGTTTATAAATACAAGAGAAGATTTTTTATACATATAAAACTGGTTGAAAATACAGCTGAACAATAGAAAAATGAAAATAGGAGTTGTGAATGGTGACAAATTTTAATTACATCACCGTGTGAATAATTATTGATTGATTCCGTCAAACAACTGTCAAACCATTTATTGCCATGTACGTACATGTACACAGGAAGTCGGCGCTGTCGGAGGCTTCAGGTAAATAAACATCATGTTTTCTTTACGGGAGATCAGACGAACCATGAACCAGGGGCATGCGACGTAATTACACCTAAAGGTGGTAGAACCAGGGTATTGTCTCTTGGACTGGCTAATTGACCAGACGTATAATTGGTAAATATATTCGTTTTGACACCCGTGTTTCATGCGCATCCCGGCTCATAAGCAGAATACAGACAGATGAGGCCCCGTGATCAGCGGAGCATGAACAACATGGATGCCACCTTTCGGCCGTACCAGCAGTCAAGCTGCGATCTCGGAACTGAATCCAATTGCAAGCGGAGACAAGATTACTTCCCTTACCCAAACATGATCGTTGCTCAGAAATGTTCAAATCTATCTTCAGTAAATCATGAAATTAATGCGAGTATGACATTTATACGAAAAATGCGATCGTCAGTCCCTCTGATTATTTCAATATATTTCATTCCATCATGATAAAAAAAGTTAGTCACTTATAAGGTTACCACGTTGAAAATGGAAACGATCGTTAACAAAAACAACAAAATGAATTCTCTCATCACTCAGCCTAACAGTGATATAACTGCAAATTAAACAATCAAGTGCGCTAAAGTATTACACATGGTGGGTGGAGGACCAGGGGCACTTTGAGTTTGACAGGTGTCATCAACTGGTCAAGTAACATCACGGTTTGTATATTCACGTTGATTGGACAGTCTAGACTGGCGCTAACTAATCATGACGGCGTCTTCAGAACAGAACAGAACTTTATTTCTCCCAGGTTTAGGCTTACGTGGATAACGGAAAATATTGTTTTAGTGATAGCACATTTGTAATTCAATCTAATATACTTTCCTTGATTGATTATATGGCTGCGGTCGTAGATCCGGATGTATCTAAATATGCTCATTATATACACAGGGTTTATTGTTATACTATTAGGATTAATAGATACAACTGAGTATTTATACCCTTGATCATAAAGTTAGTCACTACTTTCACATTTTGATTTGTATGATTTGGGTTATGATTAAATTGACAAAATAAGAAATCATTCCGTGTATATGTGTATTATATATTGTACCCCAATACGTAATTAAATTGTGTATAAATAAGGACACTAGGTTAATTACTGTAATTGATTATTTGATAAACATATTCACATCTAGTTGCGTGATATGTCACAGAGGTAAAGCTAATTCTAACAACTAACTGTCCCATTTATTTGGCTTCTATCTTTTATATGAAACAAATGCTATAACATGGGGTGATAAACTTCATTGGCAATAGACGTAGCATATAATTGTCCGCATGAACAGTCTACTCTGTTCCAGATGTTTATTCATTTTGTCAGCATTGAAATCGTTGCATTCCTGGCTCAATGATTCATTTGATGAAATCTTGTTCCCTGTTTTGAATTACCGTCAGATAGTTCCAGAACAATTATAAAATTTCCAGCCCTATGTGTTGCGCATAATTCCGAGATAATTCGAAGTTCATATTCTTGTACGAACACTTATCAAAATTCATTTATACGTAGTACTATTATGTACATATGTATATTAGTTCAAATTATAATAATGAGGCCCTCTATATTCTCGAAACGGTCTTTGTTCTACGACAACCGTAAGTCGGTATGGGAAAACAAAATATTTGTTTAATTGTTCAAAGTTCATAGTCAATGTCATATGATTATAGACAAGGAAGATAAGAAATTAAATATAAAGAGTAGCCACTTTAAATGACAGAAATTCTTTTAGTTAAATTTGCTCATGATTTGGTCTTTTCGTGGTACATAGTGCCAAAATACTCTTAATTATTTACTTTCATGTCATTACTAATCTCACATAAGGTCAAAAGTTGTACAACGTTTAACAGATATGATTATGACATGTTGTATCCAAACATTTCCAAACAAATCCAAGCTTGAAAAATATGACCTTGCCAAATATTGGAATGGTCATATTTCCAATTGGAATGGTGGTATTTCCAAGTTTTGGATTTTTTGGAATGGATGATATTTTGTCCAGTGGAAGAGAGGTTGACGTCTCACCTGAGAGGAGGCAGAGAGGTTGACGTCTTACCTGAGATGAGGTAGAGAGGTTGACGTCTTACCTGAGAGGAGGCAGCGAGGTTGATGATGAGCAACTGGGGAGACTTCTGTACAATCTGACCCAGCTGTATGAGGGGGAAACGCCCATCAGTTGTCGACACCATCAAGTTGTCAAACACACCTGATTACAATAATCTTTGTTGTATATCTAACACTACATATATGTTCTTTGAACAGACAATAGATGTTACCAATGTTGAACCAATAATTAATTATTGGGATGTATGGAGGGACATTTTCCTAACATTGGAAAGAGGGATATTTACCTGGCGATATACGAAGGGACATTTACCTGGTGATATACGGAAGGACATTTACCTGGTGATATACGAAGGGACATTTACCTGGCGTTTACGGAGGGACATTTACCTGGTGATATACGGAGGGACATCTACCTGGCAAGGTACAGGGGGACATTTACCTGGTGATATATGGAGGGACATTTACCTGGTGATGTACGGAGGGACATTTACCTGGTGATATACGAAGGGACATTTTCCTGGCGATATACAGAGGGACATTTACCTGGTGATATACAGGGGGACATTTACCTGGCAAGGTACAGGGGGACACTTACCTGGTGATGTACGGAGGGACATTTACCTGGTGATATACAGGGGGACATTTACCTGGTGATATACGAAGGGACATTTACCTGGTGATATACGGAAGGACATTTACCAGGCAAGGCACAGGGGGACACTTACCTGGTGATGTACGGAGGGACATTTACCTGGTGATATACGGAGGGACATTTACCTGGTGATATACAGGGGGACATTTACCTGGCAAGGTACAGGGGGACACTTACCTGGTGATGTACGGAGGGACATTTACCTGGTGATGTACGGAGGGACATTTACCTGGTGATATACAGGGGGACATTTACCTGGTGATATACAGGGGGACATTTACCTGGCAAGGTACAGGGGGACACTTACCTGGTGATGTACGGAGGGACATTTACCTGGTGATATACAGGGGGACATTTACCTGGTGATATACGAAGGGACATTTACCTGGTGATATACAGGGGGACATTTACCTGGCAAGGTACAGGGGGACACTTACCTGGTGATGTACGGAGGGACATTTACCTGGTGATATACAGGGGGACATTTACCTGGCAAGGTACAGGGGGACATTTACCTGGTGATGTACGGAGGGACATTTACCTGGTGATATACAGGGGGACATTTACCTGGCAAGGTACAGGGGGACATTTACCTGGTGATGTACGGAGGGACATTTACCTGGTGATATACAGGGGGACATTTACCTGGTGATATACAGGGGGACATTTACCTGGCAAGGTACAGGGGGACACTTACCTGGTGATGTACGGAGGGACATTTACCTGGTGATATACAGGGGGACATTTACCTGGCAAGGTACAGGGGGACATTTACCTGGTGATGTACGGAGGGACATTTACCTGGTGATATACAGGGGGACATTTACCTGGTGATATACAGGGGGACACTTACCTGGTGATATACAGGGGGACATTTACCTGGCAAGGTACAGGGGGACATTTACCTGGTGATGTACGGAGGGACATTTACCTGGTGATATACAGGGGGACATTTACCTGGTGATATACAGGGGGACATTTACCTGGCAAGGTACAGGGGGACACTTACCTGGTGATGTACGGAGGGACATTTACCTGGTGATATACAGGGGGACATTTACCTGGCAAGGTACAGGGGGACACTTACCTGGTGATGTACGGAGGGACATTTACCTGGTGATATACGAAGGGACATTTACCTGGCAAGGTACAGGGGGACATTTACCTGGCAAGGTACAGGGGGACACTTACCTGGTGATGTACGGAGGGACATTTACCTGGTGATATACAGGGGAACATTTACCTGGCAAGGTACAGGGGGACACTTACCTGGTGATGTACGGAGGGACACTTACCTGGTGATGTACGGAGGGACATTTACCTGGTGATATACAGGGGGACATTTACCAGGCAAGGTACAGGGGGACACTTACCTGCTGATGTACGGAGGGACAGCTGATGGATGTACTGTTGCTTGAGGTCGTCAAGAGCATGTTGCATCTCTGCATCAACTGCTGTGATGTCCAGAATGCCGTCCATGTCCTCTGCAGTCAATGAAATCTTCCTCCCACTGCCGCCCTTCCCTTTACCTCCCCCTGAAACAAACAAAATACATTGAAACATTCATCTTTCATGCATCTTTTGTCAACTGTTTGTTTGTTTGTTTGTTGTTTAACGCCGCACTCAGCAATATTCCAGCTATATGACAGCAGTCTGTAAATAATTGAGTCTGGAGCAGACAATCCAGTGATTGACATCATGAGCATCGATCCACATATAATTGGGAATACGAAGACATGCATTAACCAAGTCAGCGAACCTGACCACCTAATCCCGTTACTCGCCTCTTACGACAAGCATAGTCACCTTTTACGTCAAACATGGGTTGCTGAAGACATTTTCTACCCCGGATCTTCACGGGTCCATTTGTCAACTGAATAATACAGGTACCAGGGATTTATCTAGACCTGATCTGAAAAATTTCCAAATTGGAATTATGACTTTCCCAACTGATGTAATAAGAGGGTCAGATTTTAATGCTTAGGTTTATATTATTAGATTGAAAATAATTTCAAAATACAATGTTAAAATACCTATGAATTTAAGAAACTTTAGACAAATCACAATTTTGAACAAAACAGCATTATCACTATCCCCTGAAATGCGTGAGTGAAAAAATATCAAAAGAGTTCCTCCGTTATGGAGCATACTCTTCATGAGGATAATGACACTTGGCCTTTGTGTGAGAGGTGTCGTGAATAGGTCAGATTCTCGGGATATGGTAATTGAGTGAGTTGGTTTAACATTGCTTTTAACAATCCTGGCATGTCACCTTGATGTAGGAGGAAAGCTTAAAGTGATGCAGGTCTTAGATGTTTACCACTTTGGTGAAATGCACGAGCACGGATATGGTGCTGACAAACCTAGAAACAAAGGGGTAAAATGGGATTCGAACCCACAATCATAGGTTCTGGAATACCGAAGAGAAACAACATTGCACAGCGAATTACGGCGCTTAAGACAACTTGGTCACATGTGCCCCTCCCCCACCATGAGGCACATTACAAGTTTGTTTGTTCATATACTAGTGAGCAATATGGATGTTAATGTTAACTATAAAAAAAAGGGTCCTATAAAGCCTTAAGAAGAGATAGGCACTTGTGTTGCTTAATGTCATGAGAAAATCTGATTAAATTTGAAATTACTACTCATAAAAGGAATCAATAGTTTATGACCCCAATTGATATGGGTTTATGAATCCATTCTTGATAAGTATAGTGCTATTTTCAGGAGCCAATAAACATACGGGTCCTTTAGTCACAACCCTAACATAAAAAGAAAGAGAAAAGTTTACAAGAAGTTTAAATTTGTCATCTTTGAAAAGTAACAAATTTTGCTAATGCTATACACATCTGTGTATTGTAATAGAGTGTAGTTTTGCCCTGAAATATTATAGTTAAACAAGAGAATGTTTGCTGAATGTCACTGATTTTCTTTTGTTGTCAACAATATTTTTGTGGTCATGATTTAACAAGCTATCTGTGAAACTATCATTGTTGACATATTTATCTATAAGTATTTACTTCAGATTTCGTATTTGCATTTATGGAGGTATAAACAAATTTATGCAAAGTGTGCACACTATTTCTAAAGTATACACCTCCATAAACATAATAAATGTTGAAGTGAATTCTTAAATATGCATCTTATCTCGAGTGCTGTCCATTACCTTTGTCCTTCTTCCCTTTCTTGGCATAGGAGCGGGTCTGTAGCCAGGACCCCTGGGGACTCGACAGGTCTGGGTGCAGCATGGGGGGCAACTGTCTGTACATCTGCAGACAGCACCGCATTGTCTGCACCTTCACCATCCTCACCAGCCGGGGGCACAACGACACAGTTCGCACCAGCGACATTTCCCTGTCATGTACACTCTGAAATCAGGAACATCAACATGTCAGTCTCTAGCCAGCAATAAGATCTGATTGTAATGAGATTGATCAACACATATTGGTCACAGATAATTGAAGATGACATGAAGTCACAGGCAATTTTATGTGACAGTTTTTTTTGTTTTCTATTTTGATATATTTAATCAGGGAAAAAGAGTGTGGATAATATATTAAATACTAACATATTGTTCTCTGTACATTTAAGCTTATAATCTAATGGGTGCCAATCACATGCTGAACAAATGTGCACATACACTTATGAGGTTACCTCTTCAACACTTTCTTGAAAGATACAATTCACCAAGCTCTTTACAGGGATACCCCATTCACTTGAGCAGAATATAGGTGGCATGCACTGTAATGGAGTAGGAATTTAAAGGGCAACAATACTCCAACTCTGAGTTGCCAGACTGGTTCCGCTTTAATTACCAGATGCCAATTGGTGCTGAACACAAGTCAAACCAGTCGAGATAATTGTCCTTAATACGCAAATTTGAATCTGTGAAAAAAAAGCTATCCAAATGTCAATACTTAAACCCTACGCAGGCACAAACTGCTACTCTAGATTCACAGAAGGATGATGTTTTCATACAAAATCAAAGTCAAGCGCCTAAACTAGTCAACTGAGAGACATGCAACAAATTTTCACAAGAAAATTTCAGGAGGCTACATTATTACATGGTACAGATGGAAATGTAGGAGTGTGGTTGTTGTCAAAGTCAAATTGTCTTGATGTCATCGGAGAGGTTAGACTGTTGTTCTACCTCTGTGCAGTCCTGAGATTCCTACTGTAAACTAGCTTACACTCCTTATGGCAGAGGGTACCACTCCTTATGGCAGAGGGTTACTCACTTAGGCAATTTAGGGAACGTGTAACTACAGGCATGGACGGTGTTGTGATCGTGTTTACACATACTGGAACATGAGTGAGTGAGTGAGTTTGATTTTACGCCTATTTTAGCAATATTCCAGCAATATCACGGCAGGGGACAACAGAAATGGGCTTCACACATTGTACCCATGTCGGGAATCGAACCTGGGTCTTCGGTGTTATGAGCGAACCACTAGGGTACCTGACCGCCCCTACTGGAACATGCACCTGATGCAATTCAGTATACTTGCAAACATAAATTACCTTGGCGATCACACCCCTATTATATGTTTTCAAAAAGAACTCGACACGCAACAAACACTTTCAGTGTTGGTTTGTGCTCGTGTGGCCATGAACAGAATATTTTACAGAATCTTCGTCATGTTTGGTCTGCTCCATTTCTTTCGTGGTATCCCACATCAGTGTGCAGATACACGATAAAACACTATGTCAAAATTGATGATGTACTTTTGCAATATACAAATCAAAATAATTAGCATCGAGTACGAACGCAAGTTTTGTGTAGAGCATGAGCTGATGATGACCCGGTGACCGCAAAAAGTGACTTTCATGCATTTATATTCTGTGCACTCTCTTGGTGGGACAGCCAACAGGACAGAAACAGAAACCAAGAACCTACAAGACATATATACGTAGTTACTCATTCCCAAACAACTTTGCACTTACTCAGTTCAAATTTGTTGAGAACTCATAAAAATAAAAATGTCACGCCGTCGACATGAAAAGGCCGACAACTCTGTCATCTGCATTGTATGCATACCACGTTTGCAAAAATATTACCGGTCATGTCGCTTGCACGCGGTAAACCGAGCAGAAACACACATACATATATATATACATGCACGTTTCAAACGCTCATAGTAAAATTGAACCAAAAGATTGTGTTTTCATATTGAGACAATATTTTCTTGCAACAGGCTCTGAAAATGATTTATATAATATACAGTATATATACCTTAAATATTTCTATTTTTTAAATCACCATTCACGGTGTTCGTTCGTGTATGTTTTGAAATCTAAATAGCGATATTTACGCAGAGAATTTATTCACAAAAATATCACAATTTGTGATCACGGGTATCTGTGATTTATGAAGACACCAATAGCCATATTGAAGTCATGCAGTAACCTTGAAATAGGTTCATATCAGTACATGAAAAAATGGATTTGTTTCAGAAATGCTAGAAATGCATGTAGATGTAAATGCAACACAATTTAATTTATTCTAGTATTTCCTTTTTATTTTTAATTATTCCATTTTACTGAACGGTTTGAAGTAGGCTGGAAATGCGGTACATACGTTTATTGCTTTACCCCTTGAAGATCGCGCATGTCATGCATGTGTGTTGTGATTGTGATTTCGTGTGTGATTTATTTCTCATATAGGCCAAATATGAATATACGTTTGAAATAAGTACACAAATCACTAATTTGCATCAGGGAACACTGTTTGAAATAAAACGGATGTGTCCCCTTTCAAGTTCTATTTCAAACATACGTAATACATTTCCATTTTATTTGAAGATGAAGAAATACACACTTCAAAAAAAGAAACGCACGGTGTGTAGTTCAATGAGCCTGTCAACACAAAAGATCCGGTATATAAATTGGATATATGTCGATTTGCAATGACTTCAACGGCATTGTTTTTCACACTTGTTCAAAAATGTCATGGAGGAAATCAGTAAAGCAAAATGCACGTGCAAGTTATGGCATTTATGGCTCAGATCCGACCAAGAAGAACAGTTATCGTCCCTGTTTTGCAACATATCCAACGACAGAGACGCTTGCGTTGGTGCCATACCTTACATCCTTGGAATTTGAGAAACTGGAGACGAGTATGGTTTAGCGATGAATCACGATTTCTTCTTCAGCGGCGAGATGGAAGACAACAGGTTTATCGTCGTCGAAATGAGTGTTTTGCCCAACATTGTGTACGTGAATTTGACAATTTCGGTGGCGGTAGTGTCATGGTGTGAGGGTCATATCCTACACCAGGAGATCTGACATGAATCAAATTCTTCAACCTCACCTTCTTCCAATCATTGGCCGCCAGAGGGAGCTGTTTCAACAGGACAACGCTCCACCGCACACATCTCATGTCACGGTTGTCTACCTCATAATACCAACATCAACGCCTTGCCCTGGCCGTCGATATCTCAAGATCTCAACCCAATCGAACACCTCTGGGATGAACTCGATCGACGTGTACGTCAACGTCAGACCACGCCGCAGACACTCCCCCAACTGGCCAACGCGTTACAAGCAGAATGTCGCAGAATTCCAGTGCCGAGGAGATGCAGAGCCGTGATTGCTGCCCGGGGCGGTCACACAAGATACTGAGTTCAGCGCCACCTTGTGGCCTTATGTGACAAAACAATGAACAGTTTTCAATGCCTTTGTACAACGACAACATGTGACTATCGAGCTCCAAAATTTCATATTTGTATCTATGATATCAAATTAAATATAACGACTTCATTAGGTACAATAAATTTACTAAAAATCTACCTGTGCGTTTCTTTTTTGGGAGAGTGTAACTTATATATGATGCTTGTCCTCGTTCTTAAAAGAGATTCATGTTATGGGAAGGAATAATAAATATATTGATAGAAACGAATAAGGGAAAATATTGACAGTAGTGGGTGACCTCGCCTAGGTGAACACTACCAAGGTGACTTTCGTTCATTTCCCGATGAACGTCAGTATGTCACGTGATTACCTTGTCAATCGCGCGGAGACATACAGAACTACTTTAGGGGAATTCCTCAATGTCTAAAAATAACACTAAAAATAATTAGGGAAAACTGAGAGCGACGTCGATTTAGGTTATGAATGATGCAGGCTTTGAAGTCAGACCGATCATGTATATGTCGGATCACCGAAATGAAGCGTCCATTCGAAACTATAACAGAGAATGCTCGACTTACCAAATAAAATCACGGAGCTCCACACTATCGTGCCTCAGTAAATCCAACCGCGCCGCCTCAAGCGGTAATCCCCGTAATCAGCAACCGTAGTATGACTCCACACACACCAAAAGTTCACAGAACGTTAATATGTATCCATTTTCAACACGAGCCGGGCCTGGATTTCTTTCCAATTCCAACGCTAACTTTACTGGGTGCAACTTGTATTTCAAGCGAATGACATTGCGGTAGCCGCCATTTTCTGCCGTTTGTAAAACAAAGGGATGTCACTCCAAATGGAATGTTTGGGACGGATGACGTCACGACGTCACGTCAGCTGATGAACGTCAACAAATACAACTTCAATCCTTAAATGAAAGCTATAGGGAAATAAGATTCACTGTCAGTACATTTGAAATAGCGCGCATGCAAATTCAACACGTCAGAACCAAATGCTGAGATGTGTTTGTGTGCATTGTTTCCAGCGGTATTTGTTGGACTAGGCCGGGAACACATGATAGCATATCACTTTACTGTGTCTAAAACTAAGTGTTCCCTTATTTATCTCCATCAGTATATGTTGGAAATACATGTAAATCTAAATGCCCCCCTTTATGTCGTTTTAAGGCGGACTCACACGGGTCGGCCTGTCGAATCGATATGCCGAATTCGACCGAGTCGTATCGTCTGAGTGATTAATCGAATTTGACAAAAAGGACAAATCGGCCGCTCGAACCCGCATCGATTGTGTCGCGAGTGCGTACAGTCTGTTCTAGCTAATCGGCAAGTTGGATGTGGCGCGGCCAATCAAATTGCGTTTTGATGTCACGTGATATTTGTTTACACACAAGCGGGAAACATGGCTTCGTCGGCTGCGAAGAAACCACGCCTCGACTTTTCAAGAGAGGAAACCGAACGTTTTGTGGCTCACTATCTGAGTCACGAAAGCCTGTGGAATGTCTCAAGCAGTGATTATTCCAAAAGAGATAAGAGGAACGCTGCATTAACGGCGATCTGCTTGGCATTCCCGGAAAAGACACTGACGAGTGAGTACGCAGACGTGTATTATCAAATTGTTGACATTGTGATGCTGTGTACGAGAGCACTTACACCTGGTAGCATGAAAGAATAACGTGTACGATAATAATTTCCCTAAATGCACTATTCCAAATATGAGCTTTCTTTCTACCTATACTATGATAGGCGCAAAGCAATATGTCTAGCTGTTTCTGTAAATCGGGTGTGTGTGGGCGGAACCCCGCCCCCCTTGTATTTTCAACTTTCCGATTTGTCCAATTTTTCGTACAGATTTCTTCATAGCACAGGGTCTGCAACCGCTTAAATGGTATCCTACCCCAGCATGGACAGATATGCATATACCATGTAGACAATATCATTTTTTACCTGGAATTGTTAAAAATTGTTGAAACAACAACAATAATAATACTGATACGGTTCTGCATATCATGTTTCATTAAATAATGATTATAATGTTGCTTTTATGATAATATCATTAAGAATCTACTGAAATAAATTATGTGAGCTTTTCCATAAGCATACCATGAGGGATGATAGGTACATATATAGACATGGACATTTCACATACCATAAGGAATGTTTTCAAAACATACCATTTTATGAATCAAATGATTAATATATAATACTTTCTGTTGAGATTATTATGTAATATTCACTAAGATTAAGAACTAATCTGTGGAAACCATCCGCATACTACATAGACACTGCATGGAAGTTTCATCACCTGGTAATCATATTCTGGTCTCTGATTAAAGTAAGGTAGGTTTGATATCTTTTAGATGATCAAGTGACATCAAAGATTGCGAATATTCGCACATCCTACTCAAGGGAACTCAAGAAGCATCTGGCAAGCAAAACAAGTGGCTCTGCAACAGATGCTGTGTACATTCCTGTATGGGATCACTTTGAGACCTTGGATCCTTTCTTACGTCCTCATATGAGGCAGCGTGCATCTGTCAGCAACTTCACAACACAGGTACATGTGGTTTATGATGTTTAAGTTATTAATACCTAATTTTGAATTCCAACACATTCTAGAATTTTTTGTAGGAACCAATGGTATTAACTTAGTAATAGTCCATATTTAAGATTTAATACTTCAACAACTTGTTTTATGGAATGAAAACATGCATATATTTTACAATGATTACAGTATTGTTTATTTGCTTCCACAATTTACACAAAGGTGGTTATTTACAATTATCATTATGTAGACTCAGCTACATACCACATTCTTGATTGCACATCTACTCACTGGCAAAGCTAAATGCACCATACTGACACAGGTCAATTTACCATACTGACATAGGCTCAGTGTGTCCCATACTGACACAGCTCACTGTGCCATACAAGGTTAAATTTTGTCCCATTGCCAGTCAACTTGTCCATTTGTCATGAAATAGTCAGTAAATTCATCCCTGACATCTCTGGCTGATGATGAGGAAAAGTTGCCCCCTTGTCTTGATAGACGCATTGCGTGACTAACTTGTGTGGTGTCAGGTTCAACATCAGAGTGTGTACTGTAAACTCGATCTTTCTTGGTACGCAGGAAATTGTGTAAGACCACTGCAGCCATAATAGTTTTGACAGCATTGTCAGGTTTTTGTCTCATTGGCTTCTGAAATACCTGGAATCTGGTGATGAGAATGCCAAAGGCATTTTCAGACACTCTCCTTGCTCTGGACAACCTGTAATTGAAGATTCTTTTGTGTTCTGGTAGGTCACGTTGGGGAAATGGCTTCATAAGATATGTTTTCAGTGGAAAAGCTTCATCACCCACAATAACATGTGGTGTGTCCTCTTGTCTTCCTGGAAGAGGCTTTGGTGATGGTATATTAACTGTATTAGCCTCAATACACCTCAACAGATCTGAATTTGCAAAGATCCCTGCATCTCCAGCTCTCCCATTGGCACCGACATCTACAAATGTAAATTTATAGTTGGCATCAACTAGAGCAAGCATTATAATGCTGAAATAGCCCTTGTAGTTGTAAAATTGGGAACCACTATGAGCGGGAGCAGTCACTGCAAAATGTTTCCCATCCATGGCACCAAAACAGTTTGGAAATTGCCACTTGTCTTCAAAGTCAGTCACGATGCTTTTCCATTCATCTTGAGTGCTTGGCACCTGCAAAATTAGTGAAAAAGAACATGGTTGTTAAAATGATGAGATGAGATTTATGTTTAAGAAATATTTTTTATGCTATTTCAGGAATCCTCAAATAGGCTGGTTGAAGAAAGCCAGGATGAAGTTCAACTGGCCATAGAAGACAACAATACACCATCTGAAAATGAAATAACTGCTGCCCTTGCTCCGTCTAAATCACCCTTGCGAAAGACAACATCAAAACTGAACCCCCAAGATAGATTCAGAGAGGCTGTTGTGTCTTCTCTGAGTGCTCTTGTCAATAAGCCCACAGCGGACAATCCTGGAAGAAACAAACAATTTCTCTTACACTTAGGAGAAGAAATGGATGAAATTACTGACAAGAGGCTACTAAGACAGCTCAAATTGGAAATGCAGCAACTTGTGTTTAATTTTCAGCGTCAACAGGAAGAACTTAATGAACCATAAATTCTAATTCTAAAATCATGAGAGATATGCTAGAAAACTGAATAATTGTATTCATATTTTCATTTATACTATTTCATAGTTGTTTTATTGAAAATATCTGATCACAAACATTTGATGTACCTAGAATTTTAGACTCTTGTAAACATGATTGTGAGACAATCTTTTAACTGGTTCAAATAATGCTATATTGTTGCCTGTTGATATGAAATTGGGATGAATGGGAAAGAGGTGTATAGGTATATTTCTATATTTAATCACGTCTGACACCTGTGTTTTGCAAAAAAAACACTTCTGAAGCATATAGCATTGACAAAGCTGTCAAAGTACTTACTGTCATTGATTTGCCAGGCTAGGTCAATGCTATGTTATATTTGTCACAATCTTTACTTATAGACTCTGCATATTAAAAGAAGTGGAAAATTCAGTTTCCTTACGTTCCCCACAGCAGCTCAGTAAGTCTCTGATCCTTTGGACCTGGATAATAGTGCCTGTAGCACTATGAGCAGTCTAATGCTTTTAATGTGCATGTCTGATAGTAATACGTTCTTTATCGATTGTATGGTAAGTATAAAGTTTTGTGTTATATGAAACAAATTGCCTTGATCGCTCCTCTAAATAGACGTAAATCTATGTATTTATTAATTGAATAATTAGATTAGTTGACACCTAACTACTGATAATTACTATCTAAGTACATCAATGTTTATAACCATTGATTTATTCACAATGATTTGGTATTATTCACTCGAGCTGTCCTCGAGGCAGGGGACATCGATGACTTTGTATTAATAATATAACTATTAGTTTTTCGCTGACATGTGTCCAGTAATGTCATGCAGACCAGCAAGTATTTAACAATTTTGTGGTTTGTTTTTCAAATTTGGGCAAAAGTGAAAATATCAGACAGTTTACAATTGTATGGCTTGGCACAAAATAGGTGAATGAGGCCTGTTGTACTTTTTCTGTACCAATTGAGTTTTCTATTCATTAGAAAAAATTAAATAAAGATGATTTTGGAAACTAAATAAATATGCATGCCAGAAACCTATGATTGTGGGTTTGAATCCCGGTTCCCTCTGCTTATGTTTCTAGGTTTGTCGGCACCATACCTGTGCTTGTAGTTTCGAATCCTGGTTCACTCCGATTATGTTTCTAGGTTTGTCAGCACCATGTCCATGCATCACTTCGGGCTTTCCTCCCACATTAAGCTGATATGCTGTGATATAACTGGAATACTGTTAAAAGCAGCGTTAAACCCAACTCACTCACTATAAATGCCTCTCAAAGAAATTATTCAGAAGTCTGTGATATTTTCAAACTTATTGTAAATATGAATGTATTCCTATTCAAATTGTTACTTATATAATTTATTCTATTTAATTTGTTGTAACAAATCTGTATTAATTAAATACATTAATAAAGCTTGTTCAAACCAATGTGAATATTTTTATTTTTATAACCAGAGCAAAATGCTGGGGATAAAGCTATTCATTGTATCGCTGTCAAACCATTTTCTTTTGCTGAGGTAGGGTAGTCAATTGGGGAGAACTGTTGTTAACATGAGTGTGTTGTGAGTATGGTTTATTTACATGGGTACATGTACACACCTTGGCATACTCTGGCTGGAGGGCTTCATAAATGCCTTGACAGACCTCTGGGACGAATGTGCATATGGTGTTGGATGGCACTCTGTACAGGTAAGACAGAGACTGGAAGTTGTCACCTATGGCGGAAAATGCAAAGAAAAAATATAATAACTGTACAAAAATTCATCAGTATCATCAGCAGTATTCAGTGAGCCTCATCAAATAATAAATACATTGGTAAAAAAATTTAACATGTGTTGCTATCGTCGATGTACTCTGAAAATCCTAGTCAAAATGAGATATTTGGGACTATAACAGAACTATGAGGGAGGTGGGAAAGGTAATATGATTATTTTAAGCCTGAAGTTTGTATATTTTCCCGGTGTCAATTCAAACATTTCACGAACCACGGAAGTTGGAAGTGTTTACGCTTGGAGGGCAAGGTCGCTTGGTTAATGCTGTGATCTTATTGGTTGATCAGTACACACCTTCAGGACTCGATTGACATGTGAGGAGGTATCTTTCAGTGACATTTCCAGCGTCCGTGATTGTTAAATACGTGTTTGCAATAATCGAAAAAAATAATAAAATCATTTCAGATATTTGTATACCAAAATATACTAACCGCTAGACAGGAAACGAAGTGTAACTGCCAACTTCAATCCGGCTGGAAGGCATTCCCGCATGTTAGTGTCCTGCTTTTTTATCTTTGGCTGGACTTTTAATAACAGATGGTTAAAACTTTCTTTTCCCATGCGAAAAAAATTGTAATACGACTGTTCATCCTCAATTTCGAGTTCTTTTATCAGATTGTTGTACGCTCCCTGCATGTCGCGACGGAGAATCCAATCTTTAGTCCAACAACTTCTCTCTTTCTTCACGTTGGCATTGCCGTCTTCTTCACACAATATCGCGCAGCAGATGACTGCTGCCACGTCTGCTTCAGACATTTTGATACCATGGAAACAAATTATCGTGAGATATCATGAGATCGACACCCAATCGGCAGATCGAATCGTGTGAGTGGCAACAAATCGATTTGTCGATATTCGTTACAATCACCGAACATGTTGTACAATGTATGGAAATCGGCATGTCGTTACGACAGGCCGACCCGTGTGAGTCGCGCTTTAGACTCAGGTCTACATGTATAATCCCTGTAACGAGCTGGGCTCGACCGTGGTACCCATGTCAGGGACGTTAGCAAAATATCTTGTTTATTTTAATCTATATTTTTATTCTTGTTAATGGGCCACTTCCCTACCCTGACCTGACATTTCCACTCCGTGCACCACAGCTCATAACATTAATCCAGTTCTTATCACAGCTGCTAATTAGCTACTAGTATAACATTTAAAATGACCGGTGTGTTAAGTAAACAAAATAGCAATTAGCTTGTGAAAGGTCACTCTCTTTACGTGGCTGCTTAGATAAACCTGCCATCACATATCACGGATGGGAGCTTTATATATTCCGGGTGAACATTCTTTGTGGTTTTGATAACATTACGTGAAGATATCCCACAGTGAGTGAGTGAGTGAGTGAATGAGTGAGTGAGTGAGTGAGTGGGTGAGTGGGTGGGTGGGTGGGTGGGTGAGTGGGTGGGTGAGTGATACCGGGTTATCTCAAGACGCTTGATGAACTGTATAGCAGCGCGTATCTTTAAGAACTTCCAGTATACGTGAAGTCCGCCCACAAGAACCCAAAGGTGGAGGATGTAAGCAAGATGTGCAGTCTTGTAATGAATATTGGAAAGAGGGCAGGACGAGATATTTCTTCTTATGTCACATACGCAAGTCGGTAAACAATTTACCCTTTTAAACGCGTATTTACGCCTTTTCTAAAGACTATGTATTACGTGTCTGGAGTCAACCTGGTACATACACAAGATACACTCACATTTTCTTAAAGGAGTTGCTAGTTCATTAATCGGTAAGACTTTTAAGAGTAGTTGCGCACGCAGAGCTTGTTCCAGGTTTGTTATCATTTATTAACAAACACATAAACAAAAACCTGCTAATCTGACTCACTCACTCAACAGTCTGCTGATAACGCTGTGATTAACATCCACATAACGACCATCTTGGGATTACCAGTAAACCCACTGCTCTAGAGGCCTCTTAACCTTGAGGGTGTCTGCGTACTGACAGTTTAATGAGTAAACTGACGTGGAGAAATTGATGAACAGCTCGGTTGCAAATGAAATGTACCGTGACGGAGAATGATACTGATATTGTTTTCACTGATCAACAATGTCAGTATTAACATGTTAATGTATTGTCTCACAAAACACCGTGTCTGAATCATACCTTACGGAACTGTTTTTGCCATGGTATTTCTGTACATATTTTTCGATGAGCGAATCTAGGTTAATATGGACAGTAACGATGGTTTCATATAATGCAGTCAAACTATTTTAAGAAGTTGTGCTTGAAGTGTTTTATGCAATCTACTTTTTTAAGTTTAAACATATTCTATTCTATTCGGCACGTTATCACGGCTTAGAACACCCTCTTACATTTACATGTAAGCTTATTTACAATTGATACATTATATGACAGAAAGGAAAGAAGAGAAGTAGAGAAACGTATGTACATTAGTGAGTGAGTGAATATGGTTTTACGCCGCTTTTAGCAATATTCCAGCAATATCACGGCGGGGGACACCAGAAATGGGCTTCACACATTGTACCCATGTCGGGAATCGAACCCGGGTCTTCGGCGTGACGAGCGAACGCTTTAACAACTAGGCTACCCGACCGCCCCGTATGTACATTAACATTGCTTACTCAAACTATATTGTTTTCTTTATATATGTACATTGCAAAAAAATGTTTTCGTTCACATGATTAGGGAAAGCTGCACTGCCAACTAACATCAAGTCAATATCAACACCACAAGCATCTTAGTTAACAATAGTGAGTGCATCAATTTGTTTCTAGCTATTTAAATAAAATGGACATTCAATGAAAATAAAATTGAATTTCCACATGGGCTGCCACGTCTTCAATTTGGACCCAAGTTTAAACATGTTCTAAATAAATACTTTTTTTCATTCACTATCACCATGTCTTAATTTTGTATGTACTACGGTAATGTTTCTGAAACTATATACGAAATATGGTGGAACTGTAGCTTTATCTGGATTTAAAACGAAAGATATTCCTTTGTTGAATTAGTAATGTATTCCACAGTTTGATACAGGATGGTATAATCAAGGATTCTGTAATCTTTGTACGTAAAAAAGGCATTGGTATATTATGAGCAGTTCTAAAGTTGTATGTTATCTACAGGGAGGATGTCCCGACAGATGGCAATCTATCTGCTTTTAACATGTGGCCAGATTGAGACAATGAACACTTTCCTTGACCGAGAAGATGTTTCCGTTTCTCTAGATGCGAAATTTATTATTTGGCGACAGTTCAAATGAGAAGCTTTGGGTGTACAAGGAAGGAACTAACAGACATGGCGGATATACATTCACGCAGTATGAAATATCTGTGTCATTGGAGTACTTCTGTGCGGCGTCAGGCAACAATCACTTAGTAATGCTTTTTTATGCATATTTGTGTGAGTTCAGAGTACTGTCGATAGTGAAAGACATGCTCCCCCTTTCCGCGAACACCTGGTGTCATCACTGATTTTCAGTGACCCTTTCATATCATTGTTACCGCTACCTGACCTTTATGCCCGATAGAACCTGTTTTCGGATAATCTAAACTTCTTATGTTTCAGCGATGACGTTATGGCATGATAGATTAACTATAGTAATATGAGAGAATCGGATTGTCCTTAACTTCTTTTGAGTAGTATATGTTCAGATCTTACAATTCCTTTTTGAAACACATCACTAACATATAGTTAAAAAGTGAAAAAATGAATATATATATATGAATTCATTTTTTCACTTATACATACATACATACATACATACATACATACATACATACATACATACATACATACATATACATACATATACATACATACATACAAACATACATACATACATACAGAATAAAGATACAGTGAAAATGTACATATTCTGAATATGGACTAAAATAAAAATGAATAAGTTAAAAAATTGCATACAGTTCTGTTTTATTTATTTCACTTTGGTGAAGAATAAGTCTTCTTCATTTGAATGTAAAGCCCGTTTCAAATTACGTTTTATAGTAGTTTGTAGACGATATTTACTTTCGAATGTTTCAAAATCTCCTAACGAAATCCGCCGATTACTCTTTGTTTGCCTGGAGGTCTTGTGAAGTGTACATGACAATCAATAAGTTATCAGGAAATTTCGACTGGCCGTAGGTTTCACTGACCTCACAGTTCTGTGCAGCGAAGGTGCGCGTGCAGTGATGTGGGGAGTTGAAGGTAAATACTTACAGGTGAACTGTGACGTCAGACGCAGCCGGGGCATATAAGGTGAGGGGGACAGGTAAATTCACCCCAGCGTTCTTAAATCATGGCTTCAGCTGGCCTCCTCACCTGTGTACTATTGGCCTGCAGTCTCAGAGGTAGGTAACGCACAATCAGTACGCGTCGGCGATTTTCAGAGTGAAATGCTGACGACTTAGTAATACTTCTTTCGACAATGAAATAGAATTGGTTATGACACGCGTCAGGGTTTTACTCTGACTTCCAAAAGTGGGGGTCCAGGGGACCCCAATAATTAATTTTAAGGAACCTTGCAGGCAATATGAGGTTCCTGTAACGTAATGAAATGGTGTAGTGTACTGTACGTTAAGACCCGTGAAGATTCCGGGGTAGAATAGGTCTTCAGGAACCCATGCTTGCCGTAAAAGGCGACTATGCTTGTCGTAAAAGGCGACTAACGGGATCGGGTGGTCAGGCTCTCTGACTTGGTTGATGCATGTCATCGATCACCCGTGAAGATCTCGGGTAGAATAGGTCTTCAGCAACCCATGCTTGCCGTTAAAGGCGACTATGCTTGTCGTAAAAGGCGACTTACGGGATCGGATGGTCAGGCTCGCTGACTTGGTTGATGCATGTCATCAATCCCAATTGCGTGGATCGATGTTCATGATGTCAATCACTGGATTGTCTGGTCCAGACTCGATTATTTACAGACAGCCGTCATATAGCTGGAATATTGCTGAGTGCGGCGTTAAACAACAAACAAACAACTACTGTACGTTTAGATAATTACTTTTAGAGCCTGGAAAGAATCACTGATCATGTGGACAGTGGTCATGACTGATGGATAAATTAACAGACCCCCATAACTACCCTTGATGCGCTTAAGGTACGGACGCAGTACAATTTTTTCTGTGTCCATTCTCTACATTTGTGCGTACTGGGTGGTCGCGTAAAACCCTGCGGCAATTCAGTTTTGATGTTAGCGTCTCAAGATTCTACCCGTTCAATATTTGACATCTTTATTCTTGCAAGCAGTGCCTATCCAATAGCCAGCACCTCGGTGTCAATCGATTGGCCGAAGTATGCCCATTTTATTTTGCACGGGTGACATATAAATAAGGTCAACCCAGAACGTTTTAACAGGGAGCATGTGTCCACACTATCCCCAGGTTGTTGTTAACAGGGAGCATGTGTCCCTCCACACTATCCCCAGGTTGTTGTTAACAGGGAGCATGTGTCCCTCCAAAACTATCCCCAGGTTGTTGTTAACAGGGAGTATGTGTCCCTCCACACTATCCCCAGGTTGTTGTTAACAGGGAGCATGTGTCCCTCCACACTATCCCCAGGTTGTTGTTAACAGGGAGTATGTGTCCCTCCACAGTATCCCCAGGTTGTTGTTAACAGGTAGCATGTGTCCAAACTATCCCCAGGTTGTTGTTAACAGGTAGCATGTGTCCACACTATCCCCAGGTTGTTGTTAACAGGTAGCATGTGTCCAAACTTTCCCCAGGTTATTGTTAACATGGAGCATGTGTCCACACTATCCCCAGGTTGTTGTTAACAGGGAGCATGTGTCCACACTATCCCCAGGTTGTTGTTAACAGGGAGCATGTGTCCCTCCACACTATCCCCAGGTTGTTGTTAACAGGGAGCATGTGTCCACACTATCCCCAGGTTGTTGTTAACAGGGAGCATGTGTCCCTCCACACTATCTCCAGGTTGTTTTTAACAGGTAGCATGTGTCCACACTATCCCCAGGTTGTTGTTAACAGGGAACATGTGTCCACACTATCCCCAGGTTGTTTTTAACAGGTAGCATGTGTCCACACTATCCCCAGGTTGTTGTTAACAGGGAGCATGTGTCCACATTATCCCAAGGTTGTTGTTAACAGGGAACATGTGTCAACAGTATCCCCAGGTTGTTGTTAACAGGGAGCATGTGTCCACAGTATCCCCAGGCTGTTGTTAACAGGGAGCATGTGTCCCTCCACACTATCTCCAGGTTGTTTTTAACAGGTAGCATGTGTCCACACTATCCCCAGGTTGTTGTTAACAGGGAGCATGTGTCCACACTATCCCCAGGTTGTTGTTAACAGGGAGCATGTGTCCACACTATCCCCAGGTTGTTGTTAACAGGGAGCATGTGTCAAAACTATCCCCAGGTTGTTGTTAACAGGGAGCATGTGTCCACACTATCCCCAGGTTGTTGTTAACAGAGAGCATGTGTCCACACTATCCCCAGGCTGTTGTTAACAGGGAGCATGTGTCCTTCCACACTATCCCCAGGTTGTTGTTAACAGGTAGCATGTGTCCACACTATCCCCAGGTTGTTGTTAACAGGCACCATGTGTCCACACTATCCCCAGGCTGTTGTTAACAGGGAGCATGCGTCCACACTATCCCCAGGCTGTTGTTAACAGGTAGCATGTGTCCACACTATCCCCAGGTTGTTGTTAACAGGCACCATGTGTCCACACTATCCCCAGGTTGTTGGCGCTCAGAGCTATGCAGTCTCCATGGAACTATAAGCGTAGATGGACCAGGTGGGCCTGTGGTATAAGGCACTGCAATTCACTGTGCAGAGTTGTGTCCCCTATCCGTGCCAGGATCCACTGATACAAATTTAAGGTTTTCGATTCGATGACGATATTTTGTTCTGGGGACTCATTTTCGGGGATTAGTCATCCACTTCAGAGGTATAAGGGTACTATTACGACTCTCGCTACGCATCCACGACTGTCTTTAAAACTAACTTACGAGATCGAATGGTGACAATGCATTCCTTTTCAGATTGTTGCCATTTGAGCCAACTTGGTGGCTAATACTCTCATACCTCATACTGTCGAGGTGTCGTAGCCTATTGGTTGAAGCATTCGCTCGTCACCCCGAAGAAACCCATTTCTGGTGCCCCCAGCCCTAATATTTTTGGAATATTACTAAAAACGGTGAGTTACTCACGCACTGACCTACTCAAACCTGGTCTAAGCCCAGTTACTTCGAGGCCACCGTCATAAAGCTAGACTGCTTTCCGCGGTGATACGTCAATTCATCCGTTGTCAATTTTAGTTGGCACCCTCCTACCTGCGGGCATCTCTCTCCCCCCACGCCCAGCTGAATCCTGGGTAAATGTCATGAGTCGACACTGTCGTTATGCGTGACCCTTTCTTGTCCATGCGATATTCACAATGTCACCCAACACGCGTATGTCAACTCTTTCTTTGCCGTCCTGTGACTCAACCAGTATTTTGAAAATCTTCACCTCAAACGGTTTCGTTATTTATTCATAAAAAGCAACCTTTGGATCATACGAAAGCAAACCTCTGACACTTGTTTGGTAAATTCTTAGGTAATTACAAGGAACACATCAGTGTGCAAATATCAGTGGGTGATGTGACGTCTCCTGCACTGGGGTCTCGCTCTCACTCGGTGTCTGAAATAATTTTACTCCCATTATGCCAGCTGGTAGTGACTCGTAACTGTAACTTTCCCGTATTGATATTTGCAAGCTCGCATTTGTAAATATCACATCAACATCAGAGAGGGCGGTCGGGTAGCCTAGTGGTTAAAGTGTTCGCTCGTCACGCCGAAAACCCGGGTTTGATTCCCGACATGGGTACAATGTGTGAAGCCCAATTCTTGTGTCCCCCGCCGTGATATTGCTGATATATTGCTAAAAGCGGCGTAAAACCATACTCACTCACTCAACGTCAAAGAACAATCAGTTTCAATTATCTTCCATTGTCGTAAAAGTGAAAACGTGGTAGCCGCCTCCGTGGTCTAGTGGTAGAGCGTCCGCCCGGAGACAGGAAGGTCCGGGGTTCGTTCCCCGGCCGCGTCATACCAAAAGACGTGAAAAGATGGTACTTGTTGTTACCCAGTCTGGCGCTCGGCATTAAGGGGCTATAACAAGGACTGGTCGGCTCGGAGTCAGTATACTGTGTCCGAGTGGGGTATTCATGTTAAACTGCGGCATGGAATCTCAGTGAGCTAGCACTATAAATCGGCATCAGTCCAGACTAGTACAAGCAGCCACGCAAACACGTGCATGCACGTCGCTATATAAGTGCAATAATGTTGCACGCGACGTTAAACCCTTTTTCACCTCACCTGAAAAAGTGGTAAAAAACATAATGACTGGGTCTTTGAAAATCAGTGATGACACCAGGTGTTCAAGTAAAGGACAAGCATGTCCTGCCCTACACGATAGATACACGATACAGTACTAAATCATACATTTTCTCAGATTTACTTTGCCCTGTGCCTTTAACATTGACTGTATATCACAGCGGTGGCTCATCTTCTCGGGTCGGTGAGTCACTTGTCTGATTCAAAATTGTCAATGTCAGTGGAGCTCTGAATTTTTCTAGTGGGCAGTCTGACAGGTACGTATAAATTTCATCTGTACCGATAGAAATGTTATCAGCCTCGAGATAGTGGGCAGGCAGGTATTTCAGAAACCCCTCTCACAAGTCACAGGCACATCAACAAAATATGCTTCCGTTTTATTTTGTAATTAACTGGTTTTCGGATCCGCACACTAAAAAATCCGTGATGTAAAAAAAAAATAAACTCCATTATCAAGCCATTTTACTAACGCCTGTCTGATATTCACGCTTATAAATTAAAAACGTTTTCCTGCCTGACTGAGATAAGTGGAACCTGTGCAGTAACCCGTTATTTGATGGCTTCGTCGGCTTTCTAAACAGCCTGTGAAATTGCTTCCACGCCAAAGCTATTAAATTAACATTCCTGCCCGATTTCCCAAACATTTCCAAAGGAAACAGGATTTGAAATCTTATTTTCTTCTCATCCAAACGACCCTTTAGCCTCACAAAATAACAGATATAACAGATTAATTTTATTTATATTTCGACAACTGACAAAGATTTAGAGAAAGACATCCCTAAATTAACTTATACAAAAAAGCCTAATGGTGTAATTTCATTGATATGTCATGATATGTGAGCTATGGCTTGATTTAAGAGCAAAATAGAACGGTGATAGGGTTGTCACACCTGATCGCATGTTGTTCCTCTACGGCGTGTAATGTTGCTCATGCTATCAACCTATTGTCTCATCCCGATATAGATGGAATATTGATGACTGTGGCGAAAAACAACATTCACTCATTCACTCATATACAACTCCATTCTCGCCCACCCACACGCGTGTCTGACCTTCCCACACCTGAACATCAAGGCTGAATCACACGTGTGTGTAAAGTCCACGTGTGACCACATGAAAGTCTGTGCGTTTTGGGGTGTTGTTTGTGATAATTACACAGTGGAAAGGTTACTTAGTTTGCAAATAATCGCAAAAGTTCAACATTTTAACATTTTCAACTGTTGCATCTCAAGTGACCATATTTTTTACTGATCATAGCACACACGCCTCAACACAGCCTCCACCACCGCCAGTTACAACATCCCCTCCATCCTGTCCCAACCACCGTCAGATACAACATCCCCTCCATCCTGCCCCAACCACCGTCAGTTACAACATCCCCTCCATCCTGCCCCAACCACCGTCAGATACAACACCCCCTCCATCCTGCCCCAACCACCGTCAGATACAACATCCCCTCCATCCTGCCCCAACCACCGTCAGTTACAACATCCCCTCCATCCTGCCCCAACCACCGTCAGTTACAACATCCCCTCCATCCTGCCCCAACCACCGCCAGGTACAGCATCCCCTCCAACCTGCCCCAACCACCGTCAGTTACAACACCCCCTCCATCCTGCCCCAACCACCGTCAGGTACAGCATCCCCTCCATCCTGTCCCAACCACCGTCAGATACAACACCCCCTCCATCCTGTCCCAACCACCGTCAGTTACAACACCCCCTCCATCCTGCCCCAACCACCGTCAGTTACAACACCCCCTCCATCCTGTCCCAACCACCGTCAGTTACAACATCCCCTCCATCCTGTCCCAACCACCGTCAGATACAACACCCCCTCCATCCTGCCCCAACCACCGTCAGATACAACATCCCCTCCATCCTGCCCCAACCACCGTCAGTTACAACCCCCCCCCCCCCCCCCCACACCCCACACCCCCACACCCCCACACCCCCACACCCTATCCTGTCCCAACCACCGTCAGTTACAACACCCCCTCCATCCTGTCCCAACCACCGTCAGATACCCCCCCCCCCACACACACACACACACACACCCTATCCTGTCCCAACCACCGTCAGGTACAACATCCCCTCCATCCTGCTTCAGACACCGTCAGATACAACATCCCCTCCATCCTGCCCAAACCACCGTCAGTTACAACCCCCCCCCCCCCCACACACACACACACCCCCCCCCCCCCCCCCCACACCCTATCCTGTCCCAACCACCGTCAGTTACAACACCCCCTCCATCCTGTCCCAACCACCGTCAGATACAACCCCCCCACAACCCCACACCCTATCCTGTCCCAACCACCGTCAGGTACAGCATCCCTCCATCCTGTTTCAACCACCGTCAGATACAACACCCCCTCCATCCTGCTTCAACCACCGTCAGATACAACACCCCTCCATCCTGCCACAACCACCGTCAGTTACAACATCATCTCCATCCTGCCCCAACCACCGTCAGGCACAGCATCCCCTCCATCCTGCTTCAACCACCGTCAGGTACAACACTACCTCTTCCTGCCGTCCTCATCGTCAGGTACATCATACACACCATCATCGGGTATATCACCCTCTTCACTATGGTTACCTAACCCCACTTTCCCAATCCAGCAGTACGCCTTCGAACCAGTATGAAAAATATGAGTGAGTGAGTGAGTGAGTATGGTTTTACGCCGCTTTTAGCAATATTCCAGCAATATCACGGCGGGGGACACCAGAAATGGGCTTCACACATTGTACCCATGTCGGGAATCGAACCCGGGTCTTCGGCGCGACGAGCCAACACTTTAACCACAAGGCTACCCGACCGCCCCTGAAAAATATGATGCGCGCGAATATTCATCTCCGCTTGTTTAAAACGGCATGGATTTACTCTCAGATATTGTAGAAATACATCCTTATAATATTATTATATATTGGTACCCGGATATTATCCACACTGACCTTTATATAAAGAAACGGCGCTGGTTTATTTTCTTTAGCGTTGTGACATCTTAATGCTTATTAAGATTAAGACATCACATCACCGTATAATGTCTTTCAGTTGTCCGAGCCCAGAATATCCGATGTTTCGACTGCAACAGCGGCAATGGAGGGTGGAACACCAACTGTCCTGAGAACGGCGACCTCTACTTCGACAGAGTGACCAGCGTCGAGTGCCAGGAGCTGTGCTTTGTCCGCACACACATCTGGCACCCCGGCAGTGAGAACACATCCTTTTTAACGACTACATTGCGTGAAAAAGAGGGAGGTTTGACCCGGGAGTATAGCAGATATTGATCGAGGACCACGGCTCGGTCAGTGATCTTTGGGAACCTTTGACCCACTGATCTAGTGGCATGGTTTACCAGCAGACCAAGGGGCACGGTTGACCCACTGATCTAGTGGACCCGGTTGACCCACTGAACTAGTGGCACGGTTGACCCACTGATCTAGTGGACCAGGTTGATCCACTGAACTAGTGGTACGGTTGATCCGCTGAACTAGTGGCACGGTTGATCCGCTGAACTAGTGGTACGGTTGACACACGGAACTAGTGGCACGGTGTACCCACTTACCATGGGGAAACGGTTGACCCACTGATCTAGGAGACATGGTTGACCCAAAGATCTAGGGACACGGTTGATCTGCTGATCTTGGGGACAAGGTTGACCCACTGATCTGGGGACACGGTTGACCCACTGATCTAGGGACACGGTTGACCTGCTGTTCTAGGGACACGGTTGACCCACTGATCTAGGAACACTGGTGACCTGCTGATCTAGGGACACGGTTGACCCACTGAATTAGGAGACACGGTGTGGTGGTTGACCAACTGATCTAGGAGACATGGTTGACCCAAAGATCTAGGGACACGGTTGATCTGCTGATCTTGGGGACAAGGCTGACCCACTGATATAGGGAACACGGTTGACCCACTGATCTAGGGGCACGTTTCATCCACTGATCTAGGGACACGGTTGACCCACTGATCTAGGGACACGGTTGACCCACTGATCTAGGGACACGGTTGACCCACTGATCTAGGGACACGGTTGACCCACTGATCTAGGGACACGGTTGACCTGCTGATCTAGTTGCATGGTTGACCTGCTGATCTAGTTGCATGGTTGACCCACTGAACTAGGGACACGGTTGACCCACTGAACTAGGGACATGGTTGACCCACTGAACTAGGGACACGGTTGATCCACTGAACTAGGGACACGGTTGATCTGCTGATCTAGTTGCATGGTTGACCCACTGAACTAGGGACACGGTTGACCCACTGAACTAGGGACACGGTTGACCTGCTGATCTAGTTGCATTGTTGACCCACTGAACTAGGGACACGGTTGACCCACTGAACTAGGGACACGTTTGACCCACTGAACTAGGGACACGGTTGACCCACTGAACTAGGGACACGTTTGACCCACTGAACTAGGGACACGGTTGACCCACTGAACTAGGGACACAGTTGACCCACTGAACTAGGGACACGGTTGATCTGCTGATCTTGGGGACAAGGCTGACCCACTGAACTAGGGACACGGTTGACCCACTGAACTAGGGACACATTTGACCCACTGAACTAGGGACACGGTTGACCCACTGATCTAGGGACACGGTTGACCCACTGATCTAGGGACACGGTTGACCTGCTGATCTAGTTGCATGGTTGACCCACTGAACTAGGGACACGGTTGACCCACTGAACTAGGGACACGGTTGACCCACTGAACTAGGGACATGGTTGACCTGCTGATCTAGTTGCATTGTTGACCCACTGAACTAGGGACACGGTTGGCCCACTGAACTAGGGACACGGTTGACCTGCTGATCTAGTTGCATGGTTGACCCACTGAACTAGGGACACGGTTGACCCACTGAACTAGGGACATGGTTGACCTGCTGATCTTGTTGCATGGTTGACCCACTGAACTAGGGACACGGTTGACCTGCTGATCTAGTTGCATGGTTGACCCACTGAACTAGGGACATGGTTGACCCACTGAACTAGGGACACGGTTGACCCACTGAACTAGGGACACGGTTGACCCACTGAACTAGGGACATGGTTGACCTGCTGATCTTGTTGCATGGTTGACCCACTGAACTAGGGACACGGTTGACCCACTGAACTAGGGACACGGTTGACCCACTGAACTAGGGACATGGTTGACCTGCTGATCTAGTTGCATGGTTGACCCACTGAACTAGGGACACGGTTGACCCACTGAACTAGGGACACGGTTGACCTGCTGATCTAGTTGCATGGTTGACCCACTGAACTAGGGACACGGTTGACCCACTGAACTAGGGACATGGTTGACCTGCTGATCTTGTTGCATGGTTGACCCACTGAACTAGGGACACGGTTGACCTGCTGATCTAGTTGCATGGTTGACCCACTGAACTAGGGACATGGTTGACCCACTGAACTAGGGACACGGTTGACCCACTGAACTAGGGACACGGTTGACCCACTGAACTAGGGACATGGTTGACCTGCTGATCTTGTTGCATGGTTGACCCACTGAACTAGGGACACGGTTGACCCACTGAACTAGGGACACGGTTGACCTGCTGATCTAGTTGCATTGTTGACCCACTGAACTAGGGACACGGTTGACCCACTGAACTAGGGACACGTTTGACCCACTGAACTAGGGACACGGTTGACCCACTGAACTAGGGACATGGTTGACGATATAAGATGGTACAAAATGTCCCGTGTCCCGTTCCACAAACCCATCTTAGCCCTACGACTGTCGTAAGTCTATGTTACATTTTAGTTACGGTAGCTATACTAGGGTCGCTTTGTGGAACGGGCCAAGCTGAACTCCATAACACAATGTATTATAAAACTGGAAATTCGTCTTTAACTTAACTTTCATGCAAAGCATCAATTTGTTCACAGCCATTTTCCGTGGATGTTCAAGTGGATTCTGGTTGCCGCGCCCCCTGCCGACCAACGGCTGCATGACCGACTCAAGGGGAGATAATTGGTGCTTCTGCGACTCCGAAGAATGCAATACAATGGCGATGTAGTAGCTGGAGACAATGCAGAGTTATTATTCAATAATTACAATATTTTTTTTCGTGATGTAAATAATTTGTATTTGTCACATACTCTTGTATGCAACTATTTTCTAACTGATGTTCCAAAGACAAATAAACATATTCTATAAGAACACTGTTATAGTAATGATTGGTGACGTCACCGAAACTGATCACATGTTTTATTTCAAGGACAATAACCTGAAAAACAGTTATCAATTTCAAGATAAGAAACAGTACCGTCACAAAGGATGTTTATCATTTTATGTCCCGGATGCGATAAAGCAATCCGAAAAAAACTATCATGATCCGATAAATACGCAAATGACGTCACCCTGCAGGAATTGTAAACAGGAAGTTTACATAGAGGCTATGTGTGTGTGTGTTCCTGTCAATAGACATGCAGGATCATTATGTACTATATCATGAATAGGGTTATTCACTCTGGCACTGTATTTCATACGCGGTTTCTGCTTTAGAAGTGAAATCACATCTGAAACCCATAGAATTCTGAGAAACAGATAATTACGTTCGTCTATTTCCGTTTCGTTAATACAGTAAAAATGTGTATTAAAGGTGCCTTTTGATTGCATACGACATTTGTCAATCGTACGCGAAATATTAATATCGGGGAGGGGGACCGGTAAAATAAAGGGGTGTGTGTGTGTGTGTGTGTGTGAGTGTGTGTCTCGAGACAATGACAGCGAAGGGAGGAGGAGGGGGTCGCCCAAATTAATCACAACTCAATTAATTAACTATAGGGGGATGGGGGGGGCATGAACAAATGTTATATAAAATGGAGGGGTTGGGGGTGAGGTCGTCGCAATACGATACAGTCCTGAGATCAATCTCACGGCTCCCCTCCCCCACCCCCTTCCACATCCTCTCCCCTCCCCCTAACAAATGACTAGTCCCTAATATAAAACAGGTCTGATACAGAAACGCGGGTTGATTGAAATAATAACGGTTCCCTATTTGCGTTATGCATGCCTCCTAGAATATTTGTATGCCAGTGTCGAGGGGGGGGGAATCTGTGAGCAGATGTACACGTCTCAGTCAACCACGAAACAGAACGTGTTTAAACTATTTCGTTAAATACCAACAGAGGTGACGTCATCGAACTGTTTTTGTCATCGCAGCCGGAGAGACGAGCTGGAGATGCCGTTATAGACATAACGCATGTGCACTAGTTAATCAGTACCACGTGACCACCAGCAAAAGAAACAATGTTGGACGTTCTCTGTCAACGCCCATATCTTCAAAGGAAGTAATTACTACACACGAAGCACACAAACAAGCCAGCGAAATATGATACACACAAACATATAACTATCGTATCGTTCTCCCCGCTGCTCATCGTAAAGTGGTGTGTAGGTTATTTGACACAGGCAGCATGATGCATATATATCTTCTCCAGCGGGGAACGCATCTGTAGCTTCTCGTGGAGCAGTGGGGCATACTGTGTGTGAGTGAGTGGTTCAGAGAGTATGTGTGAGTGAGGGGTTCAGAAAGTATGTGTGAGTGGTTCAGAGAGTATGTGTGAGTGGTTCAGAGAGTATGTGTGAGTGGTTCAGAAGGTATGTGTGAGTGGTTCAGAGAGTATGTGTGAATGGTTCAGAGAGTATGTATGAGTGGTTCAGTGAGTATGTGTGAGTGGTTCGGAGAGTATGTGTTAGTGGTTCAGAGAGTATGTGTGAGTGGTTCAGAGAGTATTGTGAGTGGTTCGGAGAGTATGTGTGAGTGAAGTGGCGTCCAAGATTATTGCACTTATAGAGCGACGTGCATGCGCGTGTGTGTGTTACTGCTTGTACTAGTCCGGACTGATGCCGATTTATAGTGCTAGCCCACTGGCCCGCAGTTTAACATGAATACCCCACTCAGACAAAGTATACTGACTCCGAGCCGACCAGTCCTTGTTTTAGCCCCTTAATGCCGAGCGCCAGACAGGGTAACAACAAGTACCATCTTTTAACGTCTTTTAGTATGGTCTTCTACTTTCCGGGCGGAAGCTCTACCACTAGAGGCGGTAGTATGTGTGAGGGGTTGAGAGAGTATGTGTGAGTGGTTGAGGGAGTATGTGTGAGTGGTTGAGAGAGTATGTGTGAGTGGTTGAGGGAGTATGTGTGAGTGGTTGAGAGAGTATGTGTGTGTGGTTGAGAGAGTATGTGTGAGGGGTTGAGAGAGTATGTGTGAGGGGTTGAGAGAGTATGTGTGAGTGGTTGAGGGAGTATGTGTGAGTGGTTGAGAGAGTATGTGTGTGTGGTTGAGAGAGTATGTGTGAGTGGTTGAGAGAGTATGTGTGAGTGGTTGAGAGAGTATGTGAGAGTGGTTGGGAGAGTATGTGTGAGTGGTTGAGAGAGTATGTGAGAGTGGTTGAGAGAGTATGTGAGAATGGCTGAAATCGCATGATAACAATAGAAAGACATACAGATGAAAATAGATTTGCTACATATGAATCGTATTTCCGAACTGTAACGCAGATATACGAGGCACCAGGAGTATATGACCATGTGAGATGAAAGATAACGTATGTCAAGGTACCACTAGTCTACAGCCTCAGTCTATGGGAAGTAGGAACAGCCATGGACTATAATAATAGACATGATACGGTGTGCTTATTTACTGCGAAGCAATGTACAATGGAATCCCGCATATCCGGACCCCATCTATTCGGAAACCTCGCCTACCGGACAATATGTACCTGAACCAGGAAGTACAACTGAAATGGTAAATCATTACGTCTAGTGAAGTTTTATCTCCAATTTCACAGTTTTACTGACCAAGTTTGTTATCACTTGTTCGTTTACCTGAATTCGCTGAATGGATACGATGTAGTGATGACTGCGCTTAATACTCCTAACCTTATGCATTATGTCAAAAGAGTTTGTTTTGTCTCCGTAGAAATTAGGTAGAATAGGTAACTCTGGACAGTTGACATGGGATTCGGATATACGGAAACTCGTTCATCCAGTGTACGGATATGAGAGGTTCGACTGCAGCATATCAGTTGTAGATTGATTGTTTGACAGCATCACACGCGTGTTCTTGCGTTTTTACTTAAGTCTCTTCAGCATTAAACCAGATCACATATTTATTACAGCTTAAAATAAACGAATACATGACACTCAAAACGATTTAACTTCCGTAAACTCTACAAATGCCCAAGAGGATATTAGTAACGTGACATCGGGAGGATATAGACAGAGGATTTGGGACTTTTACCTCTGTTGTGAAACGGGACATAGTTACATTAATAGTCATAGGTCAGTCCAACTTTAAACCACAAAGGTTGTTTTTCCGCCTGTACCTCAACGTGTTTCCTACCTACTCCTCATACAACTGGCGACCACTACCAGTAGAGTACAACCAATTATCAACTGATGCGTCTTGATTTATGAGTACCCCACATACTTCTAGACCTGATGGCTGTTTACACAATGTTTCCGCATACTTCTGTGTTTGTTTCTTGTTTACAATAATGAAGATATATTGTGTGCGGAACCAGCTGAGGAGGCAGGCGTTAAGTATATATGTACCTTAGCATAACATAGTTGAATACTTTCCCAGCTTCGAAAAACTTCAAGAAACCAAAATAGCTCAAATTGCATGGAGCTCTGCGAACAAGCATTCATTACGAGCGCCATTGGAAATACTTTCTCTACTTAGGCCCCTCTCTATCCATATGTGGTAAGTTAATGAAATTGTTTTATTGTTATTATAAAATTAATAACTATTTCTGACGGGAACGGGTTGAAAAGTGTAGGAACATACTCGCATGTACTTACAACTCATACTGTATTGACAACAGCGGTGCGGTGTCTCACATTGTTGCTATGCGTGTAATGAAACATCGCTCAAAACTGACACGCTATTACTGGAATGTCGCATCTCCATCATGCGGATGCTGTAGCATGTGCGGATATTGTTTTAAAGGTTGAATGTCACAGGGGTTCAGTGGATTCTAAATCACTGTTCTAAAGAAATGCCATGTGTTTACATTGTACATAGGGCCTACACAGTTCAGGTACTCAACTCAAAGGTAAGAATTTTAAGATTTTGGGTTGAAGTTAAGGAAGTTATGCAATAACATGAGGAATGTCTGGTTGTTTATCGAGGTTCTAACTTCACAAAGCTTTACAGACAAACAGCGGAGATAAAGTACCTAATTATTTCTCTTTTGTAAGTAAATGAGGAAATGAAGTCATAGGTTCAGCATGTAATTTGTGGATATCAACCATGGCGATTGTTGTGTTGATTGCTTTCTTCATAGCTGCGTGGTGGACGATCCATAGCGATTGTTATGTGTGAGGTATGATCCATAGCGATTGTTATGTGTGGTGGACGATCTATGGCAATTGTTATATGTAGGATATTACACATGGCTATTGTTATTTGGAGTATGATGCATAGCGATTGTTATGTGTGGTGGACGATCCATAGCGATTGTTATGTGTGGTGGACGATCCATAGCGATTGTTATGTGTGGTGGGCGATCCATAGCGATTGTTATGTGTGGTGGACGATCCATGGCGATTGTTATGTGTGGTGGACGATCCATAGCGATTGCTATGTGTGGTGGACGATCCATAGCGATTCTTATGTGTGGTGGACGATCTATGGCGATTGGTATGCGTGGTGGACGGTCCATAGCGATTAATATGTGTAGTGGACGATCAATAGCGATTGTTATGTGTGGTGGACGATCTATGGCGATTGTTATGTGTGGTGGGCGATCCATAGCGATTGTTATGTGTGGTGGACGATCTATGGCGATTGTTATGCGTGGTGGACGATCCATAGCGATTGTTATGTGTGGTGGACGATCTATGGCGATTGTTATGTGTGGTGGGCGATCCATAGCGATTGTTATGTGTGGTGGACGATCTATGGCGATTGTTATGCGTGGTGGACGATCCATAGCGATTGTTATGTGTGGTTGACGATCCATAGCGATTGTTATGTGTGGCTGAAGATCTATGGCGATTGTTATATGTAGGGTATGATCCATGGCGATTGTTATTTGGGGTATGATGCATAGTGATTAACATGTGTGGTGGACGATCCATAGCGATTGTTATGTGTGGGTCTGATCCATAGTGATTGTTATGTGTGGTGGACGATCCATAGCGATAAACATGTGTGGTGGACGATCCATAGCGATTGTTATGTGTGGGTCTGATCCATAGCGATTAACATGTGTGGTGGACGATCTATGGCGATTGTTATATGTAGGGTATGATCCGTAGCGATTGTTATGTGTGAGGTATAATCCATAGCGATTGTTATATGTAGGTCTGATCCATAGTGATTGTTATGTGTGGTGGACGATCTATGGCGATTGTTATGTGTGAGGTATGATCCATAGCGATTGTTATATGTGGGTCTGATCCATAGCGATTGTTATGTGTGGGTCTGATCCATAGTGATTGTTATGTGTGAGGTATGATCCATAGCGATTGTTATGTGTGGGTCTGATCCATAGTGATTGTTATGTGTGAAGTATGATCCATAGCGATTGTTATGTGTGGGTCTGATCCATAGTGATTGTTATGTGTAGTGGACGATCTATGGCGATTGTTATATGTAGGGTATGATCCATGGCGATTGTTATTTGGGGTATGATCCATAGCGATTGTTATGTGTGGTGGACGATCCATAGTGATTGTTATGTGTGGTGAACGATCAATAGCGATTGTTATGTGTGGTGGACGATCCATAGCGATTGTTATGTGTGGTGGACGATCTATGGCGATTGTTATATGTAGGGTATGATCCATGGCGATTGTTATTTGGGGTATGATGCATAGTGATTGTTATGTGTGGTGGAAGATCCATGGCGATTGTTATATGTAGGGTATGATCCATGGCGATTGTTATGTGTGGGGTATGATGCATAGTGATTGTTATGTGTGGTGGAAGATCCATGGCGATTGTTATATGTAGGGTATGATCCATGGCGATTGTTATGTGTGGGGTATGATGCATAGTGATTGTTATGTGTGGTGGAAGATCTATGGCGATTGTTATATGTAGGGTATGATCCATGGCGATTGTTATTTGGGGTATGATGCATAGTGATTGTTATGTGTGGTGGAAGATCCATGGCGATTGTTATATGTAGGGTATGATCCATGGCGATTGTTATTTGGGGTATGATGCATAGTGATTGTTATGTGTGGTGGAAGATCTATGGCGATTGTTATATGTAGGGTATGATCCATGGCGATTGTTATTTGGGGTATGATGCATAGTGATTGTTATGTGTGGTGGACGATCCATAGCGATTGTTATGTGTGGCTGAAGATCTATGGCGATTGTTATATGTAGGGTATGATCCATGGCGATTGTTATTTGGGGTATGATGCATAGTGATTGTTATGTGTGGGTCTGATCCATAGCGATTGTTATGTATGAGGTATGATCCATAGCGATTGTTATATGTGGGTCTGATCCATAGTGATTGTTATGTGTGGTGGACGATCTATGGCGATTGTTATATGTAGGGTATGATCCATGGCGATTGTTATGTGTGGTGGACGATCCATAGCGATTGTTTTGTGTGGTGGACGATCCATAGCGATTGTTATGTGTTGTGGACGATCCATAGCAATTGTTATGCGTGGTGGACGATCCATAGCGAGTATGTGTGGTGGACGATCCATAGTGATTGTTATGTGTGGTGGAGATCCATGGCGATTATTTTATGTAGGGTATGATCCATGGCCATTGTTATATGTAGGGTTTGATCCATAGCGATTGTTATGTGTGGAGTATGATCTTTAGCGATTGTTATGTGTGGGGTATGATCCATTGCGATTGTTATAAGTAGGGTATGATGCATTGCGATTGTTATTTGGGGTATGATGCATAGTGATTGTTATGTGTAGGGTATGATCCATTGCGATTGTTATGTGTGGTGGAAGATCCATGGCGATTATTATATGTAGGGTATGATCCATGGGGATTGTTATATTTAGGGTATGATCTATGGCGATTGTTATTTGGGGTACCATTCATAGCGATTGTTATGTGTGGGGTATGATCCATTGCAATTGTTATGTGTAGGGCATGATACATGTCGATTGCTAGATGTAGGGTAGGATCGATGGCGATTGTGATTTGGGGTATGATCCATGGCGATTATTATATGTAGGGTAGGGTCCATGGCGATTGTTAGATGTAGGGTATGATACATGTCGATTGTTAGATGTAGGGTAGGGTCCATGGCGATTATTATATGTAGGGTATGATCCATGGCGATTGTTAGATGTAGGGTATGATACATGTCGATTGTTAGATGTAGGGTAGGGTCCATGGCGATTATTATATGTAGGGTATGATCCATGGCGATTGTTAGATGTAGGGTATGATACATGTCGATTGTTAGATGTAGGGTAGGATCGATGGCGATTGTGATTTGGGGTATGATACATGTCGATTGTTAGATGTAGGGTAGGGTCCATGGCGATTGTTAGATGTAGGGTATGATACATGTCGATTGTTATATGTAGGGTATGATACATGTCGATTGTTATATGTAGGGTATGATACATGTCGATTGTTAGATGTAGGGTAGGATCGATGGCGATTGTGATTTGGGGTATGATACATGTCGATTGTTAGATGTAGGGTATGATACATGTCGATTGTTAGATGTAGGGTATGATACATGTCGATTGTTAGATGTAGGGTAGGGTCCATGGCGATTGTTATTTGGGGTATTATCCATAGCGATTGTTATATGTAGGGTATGATAATTAGCGATTGTTATGTGTTGGGTATGATCCATTACGATTGTTATGTGTAGGGTATGATACATGTCGATTATATGTGAGGTATGATCCATAGCGATTGTTATGTGTAGGGTATGATACTTGTCGATTATATGTGGGGTATGATCCATAGCGATTGTTATGTGTATCGATTTCTGAAAGACGTCTTCCGTGGTTTGTAGGATAGAGCGTCTGCTCGGAGAGCGTGAGGTTTGGGGTTCGATCCCCGGCATTAAAAGATGGTATTTGTTGTTACCCTGCCTAGCGATCGGCATTAAGGGGTTAAAACAATGACTGTTCGGCTCGGAGTCAGTATACAACTGTGTCGAGGGGGATATTCATATTAAACTGCGGCATGGTATGTCAGTGGGCTAGTACTATATAATCGGCATAAATCCGGTCTAGTACAAGCAGCCACACACACACACGCACACGCACACACACGCACGCTCGCACGCACGCACGCACGGACGACGTTAAACCTCATTTTACCTCACCTCGTTTTCTGAAAGGTATTGTTATTGTTTGAGATAACGCATGTGTCTCTTCCATGCCTATTTCTTTACAGATTCAAATTTTGTTGCAATAGCGGCGATCCTTTCTTATGCTTTTCCTGAAAGTTGAGCACGCCCAAATTATTGTAGTATCGATACCACCCACTGAACTACTTACCCAGAACGCTATGCTGCCACCGTCCATGCTAAACCAAATAGATGAACACCACTAATTCCAATACGGCTAAATGAAGTAGTTAAAGTCTACATATTTACATATTTCACTGAATACACAATGAATGTACACTAACGCATAAAAATGTAGTCACCTCAAATATTTAACTGTTTAAGCCTCACCTCAAATATTTACCTGTTTAAGCCACACCTCAAATATTTACCTTTTTTAGTCTCACCTTCAAGTATTAACCCGTTTAAGTCTCACCTTCAAGTATTTACCCGTTTAAGTCTCACCTGAAATATTTACCCGTTTAAGTATCACCTGAAATATTTAACTGTTTAAGCCTAGGCTCAAATATTTACCTTTTTAAGTCTCACCTTCAAGTATTTACCCGTTTAAGTCTCACCTTCAAGTATTTACCTGTTTAAGCCTCACCTACAATATTTACCCGTTTAAGCCTCAACTTTAACTATTGACCTGTTTAAGCGTCACCTCGAAGCAGTTACCTAATTTACGGTTACCTTCAAGTGTTTACCTGTTTAAGCGTCACCTTTAAATATTTACCTGTTTAAGCCTCACCTTTTAGTATTTACCTGTTTAAGCGTCACCTTCAAGTATTTTCTAGATTTACTTATCAAGAAGGTCGCCATTGAATGATATGATGACCTGTTTACACAGGTTAAGTGTACATGTTTGGGAATGACTCTCTCATGCGCTCTTCTACTTGCAGTGAAGCCGCTTGTAGGCTGTCTGACACGCAGCACGTCACACCATGAGGCAAGCAAGCTGTAATGTCGTGGTCGTGATGGTGGTGTTGCTTACAGGGACGGCCGTTATCCTGCTCGAGATGCCCGAGGTAGGCAGCGGGAGGGTGGTTATGAAAAAACTCAATGGGTGGGTGGGTGAGAGTATGTTTTATTTGGCGAGTTTGTGCATGGGTAATCGGGTTGTGTATTTGTTTTGATGAATGGGTGAGCGTTTGAGTCAATTGCAAAACGGGTGGCTAAGTACATGTTTGTTTTGTTGTTTAACGCTGCACTCAGCAATATTCCAGCTATATGACGGCGGTCTGTAAATAATCGAGTCTGGACCAGACAATCCAGTGATTGACGTCATGAGCATCAAGACACTCAATTAAGATACGATGACATTCATCAACCAACTCAGGGAGCCTGACCACCCGATCCCGTTTGTCGGCTCTTATGATAAGCATGGGTTGCTGAGGTCAAATTCTAACCCGGATCTTGACGGGTGGCTAGGTAAATGTGTCGGCGAATGTGTGAGCGGGTGGTTAAGTAAAAGCTTTGATGAATGTGTGAGCGGGTGGTTGGCTGGTTTGAGCTAGAGGTTGAGTGGGTGGTCGAATGAATAGTCAATGTGTGTTAACTGATGAAGGGGTGAGTGGGTGGTTGGCTGGTTTGAGCTAGAGGTTGAGTGGGTGGTCGAATGAATGGTCAATGTGTGTGAACGGATGAAGGGGTGAGTGGGTGGTTGGCTGGTTTGAGCTAGAGGTTGAGTGGGTGGTCGAATGAATGGTCAATGTGTGTGAACGGATGAAGGGGTGAGTGGGTGAGTGGACGAATGTGCGTGAGAATAGATGAGTAAGTGAACGTGTGAGAAGGAGGGGTGTGGGTGTATCTTGTTATGATAATAACATTATGGACGACCAAGACTGGGGTTTAGCGTTTTTCTTGGCCTGACAAGATATGGATTCAATGTTTATTTCTTGGTGACAAAATAGGTTCAATGTTTGTTCCTTGGAGTTAACAGAATAACCACACGAATTAGACTCAATTGTTTTCTAGACGAAGGCATAAATATGCAGCTTAGCATATCTCAAAAATATATTCTGACATGTGTTGAATTTGTATGAGCGCTATTCCAACTGCACTGACAGTAAAGCTTATTTCTCAGTATACTTTTCATTGTTCCCATATTCGTCTCCATCAGTATGAATAACTCTCCTTCACCTTCCAGACTCACCGTCTGCTGGCAGCTGTCGCGGGGCCATACCCCCACACAAGATACCAGTCCAGGCGGAAACACCCGACAACAGCCGACTCCTCACACAGACTTTCCGGAAATGTAATATTCAACGACACGAATGTTCTCGCTGGACTCCGGAAATATGGTCTGGTAAGTCAAAACATAGCCTTTAAAAACTGAATATATGGCCCATAAAACACTGACAATAAGGACTGGTAGATGATGAAAAAAGGAATGGTAAATACTACAAACATGGCGTGGTACATACAAACAAAAGATACAAGACGAATTGACGAATAAATGTTATAAATATATAGGTGTCGATATCTCATTAAGAGCTAAATGTGAAAATATGCTTGGGTGATTAAAATGCATTGCAACTCTACATTAATTTTGAAACAATTGCCATTGTTGACTTTTTGTAATGGAGTCCTTTTTTTAATTTCACTTTTTTTTCTGTAAACTCAATTCTTATTATATCTAGCAAACTAGCAGTTAACGGTGAGTCTACACGGTTAATGGGTTGACCAGGGAAGAGGAAGGTCTCTCTAATCACATTCTGTTGTTTTCCTAATTGCGAAACATGGCGTTTGTCGCGCTTCACGTACGTTATCGTTTGTCTAAAATGAATTAGTAATTAAGCCGCTGAGGTTAGTGGCAATAACAAGTTTCTCTGAAGTGGGGGCCGCTAGTTTCAATCATAGATGGTAATCGGAAAAGGTGGGTCCACAATTTTAAATCGCGAAGCTCCATTACATACCTCTCCCCTATTACACACACATCACTCCTCCCCATATTCCCCTCCCCTCCCATTTATAAAATAGTATCACCCACCAATATACACACGTACAACCCTACCGCCCCACACACCTACCACTAACCACGTTTACACTCACTGCCCCGTGGGCGGCGGGATAGCCTAGTGGTAAAAGTGTTCGCTCGTCACGCCGAAGACCCGGGCCCGATTCCCCATATAGGTCCTATGCGTGAAGCCCATTTCTGGTGTCCCCCGCCTTGATATTGCGGGAATATTAGTAAATGCGGCTCAAAACCATACTCACTCACTCACTGCTCCGACTCTTTCTCACCACCAGGCATATAGTACCCTCATACAACCACCCCTACCTACGTCTACACACATACCCCTAACACAACTATTATTGATATCGTCTCTCTTCTCCAACAGTTGGACCTACCATCGAAGGAAGTTCTCCGCCAGATGTCGCTTCAGCAGATGACAATGACATATCACAGGTAAACCTAAAGGTGATCTGCCTTTGCGGCTGGCATTGGGCAATAGCCGCGTACATGGCTAAAGACGGTCAGATATCTGCTGAGAGGCCGCCATGACTACTGTACGTAGAGACTGCCGTGTCTACTGAATATAGAAGTTGTCATGTCAACTGAACATACAGGTTGCCATGAGCACTGCATATAGGCGTTACCACATCTACTGAATAGAGAAGTTGCCATGTCAACTAAACATAGAATTGCTATGACTACTGAGCACACAGGTTGCCATGTCTATTGAAAATACAGGTTTCCATGGCAACTGACCATAGAAGTGTGTATGTCTACTGAACATCGAGACTGTCATGTCGACTGAATATACAGTTTGTCATGACAACTGATAATTTAGGTTGCTATGTTTACAGAACGTAGATATTGTCATATGCACTGACTATTGACGTAGCCAGGTTGATTCAACACATTGTTACCATGTCTACTAAACATGGAAATGGTCAGGTCTACCAGTCGTCATGCATTAGTTCCACAAGATCTAAAATGTCTTGTTGGTAAGTACTGTTTCAATAATGGTTAAGGAAACTGTTTTCTATTGTACATCATCAGATTTTAAAAGTCCTCCATTTTTATTATGGAGGCGTTGGGGTAGTCTAGTGGTTAAAGCGTTCGCTCGTCACGCCGAAGACCCGGGTTCGATTCCCCACATGAGTACATTGTGTGAAGCTCATTTCTGGTGACCGTGATATTACTGGAATATTGCTAATAGCGGCGTAAAACCATACTCATTTTTTATTATGTGCAATGCTTAAATTAGTATTATCTGGCACCTTGTCTTAATGACATGTTATTGTTCTCATATACATTTGTTCATGTGTGTGAATCACTCTGATGTGAAAGGAATTCCCTGACGGGCACTTAAAGCATTATCTTTTATTACCTTATCTTATCTTCCCTTTGTATCACTCAAAGCTGACAAGACAGTTACAGATACCATGCAATAACTCTTTTTCAGTTACATCGACAATATCAACATCCTGTGTCACCGGAAGTTCCGGATGGGAAGGGTCGGCGATGGTGGCTGGGAGGTCTGTGATGACGAAGCCTTTAGGCCTGGGGAGCCGTGTCTTGTGTACTCCTTTGGGTTAGTAAAACCTGTCTCGGGTGTCCCCTTTGCATCAGTATGTCTGTCTGGGGTGACTACTCTGTCTCGGGTGTCTCCTTTGTATCAGTAAGTCTGTCTGGGGTAACTACTCTGTCTCGGGTGTCTCCTTTGTGAAAGTTAAACCTGTCACTGATGACTCATTAAGTAAGTTAAAACCATCTCTGGGGTCTCATTCTAATAAGTGAAATCTATCTCTCGTGTCTCCTGAATGTAAGCAAAACCTGTTGCTGGTGTTATCGGATGGTTAAGTATAACAACTGTCGCGTGTATCCCATACAATACGTGTGACTGGTATTTTTGTGTTTGATTGACTTTGTCTATATGTCAATGAGATGATGAATTTGTTTAAGAATTGACTTTCACTTGCGACGACGTTCATACAATGTTTGGCCCTCACTCTATGAAGGTTCATACTCCAATGAACTCACACAAAGTGAAAGTCAATTCTTATAAAAATTTTATCACAATTTCTTACCTCAAAGGATGTAAGCCAAGACCTAAACACAATTTTATTTAGTACGTGTGACTTCATGTTTACACTGACAGCCATACAACAACCAGCTATGTCGCGGAGTACAATAGTTCCTCAAAAGGAGAGGTGACATGGGCGTATGGATGCACAACTTGCTCTTCAGAAACATCTTACGCAGCACATGTGTTCAAATCATATCCTCATTAGATAAGAAAGGTCTGTAAAGAACTACCACAGTAAGTCAGTCACAATGACAGCGCGTCGTAATACATTTACATAAAATATAAGACGTCAAAATGGCCGACACGATAAACGTGACGGGAGGATTTCCGAAGTTGTTAATGAACCTGTGGCGGTTACATGTATTAGTCATCATTGATCAACTGACCGATTATTGAAAGGTGATTAAAGATGCGTCAAACAGACACCAAGGTAAATTCATAGATTGCTGGAGACGGTCACTGTCAGCCTAGACACAGATCGAGTCGATACTGACGATAGTTTGGATGACACATTGTGCATTTTTTCGTTTGTTCATTAGGATGGGCCGTAGCGAGGAAATTCGTAAACAATCATGCAGTCAAGCTCTCTTACGTTTCTCAATGTATACTGAAAGGCTGAGACCAAGATAAAAGGTTCTAAATGATCAGAAATAATGCTTATGTATGTTTTCGTGCTAGGGAAATCCCAGGGGTTTCCCCAGGAATGTGAAAGTAGTCCGTCAGTGTTTACGTCATTTCAAGAACACGGTCTCGTGAAAAACGTATGAACGTCAAATTGTGTCGTTCATACACTTATGAACGTCAATTTCGCGGTCATGTGACCGACCTCTCGTCCAATGGAAAAGCCGTATATCGTGTAAACTTCAAATTAAAAAATTATTTATGTTTCAGCATCAACCACGACTTTACATTTGACGATGACATAGCCAAGCTGTATGGTTGCCAGGTGTATGCCTTTGACCCCAGGTTTGTGCAAGTCCGCCGTATACATGACACGCTTATATACACTCATCTTCCCGAGGCAAGAGAGTTTACTGACTATAAAAGTCCAGTTTCCACCCTTGCCGAACTAGCCTGGGATTATGGAGTTACATTTTGACTGGATTAACGAGTCTATGCATAGTCCAATCAAAATCGCGCACCGAAATCGAAATCCGGTTCGTAAACTGTCATGCAGAGTTCGGTCGATTGCAGGATTTGCAAAGCATGTGCATCGCCAACTCGTTGTTAACAGATGTTTTCCAAATCTGTTCATGTTTTTAATCAAGGTGCTCACGTGATTTGATGTACTTCGCGAAGTAAGAACCGTTTTATCACCAAATAGATATTGATGGGAGATCAGATCGTCTTGACTGGGCGCCACCATTTTGTTTGAAGCAAATGCAAGTGATACGAGAGGTGGAATCTGATTGGTCCATATGGGAGAGGCATAGAATGGACTTAACTCGTAATAGCCACTGATGGCGCTATGATCGAGCCCAGAAATTCAGGCTAGTTCGGCAAGGGTGGAAACTGGACTTTTAAAGTCAGTTAACGCTCTTGCCTCGGGAAAATGATAACACTACACTATAACTACAGCCAAAGTGATGTTTAATATGACCACGTTAAGAATATCGAAGATGGTATGCCAAAACGTTTTGTCACAATCCCAAGCTACACCTTCAAAAGTCTTATTGATGTATCTTCCCCTTGTGCATCCGACTGGACGTCGGCGGACATATACATTGGGCCACGTTGAAATAGCATATGCAAGTATAATGAGAATATAAAAAAATGACATTTTGTGATTTCCAATGAGTATCCTTTTCTTGATCGAGTTGAATAAAGAATAGATAACGGAGCCTTTCTCGGTAACTAGTTTGCCAATGAAGCCGACTGAGTGGTATCTTGGTGCAATTCCAAACGATGCAATTAAGATTATCAGTATCTTGTATCTTAATTGCAATCTGTTTCAAAGGGAACTGAGTTCTGTATGTTCTCAAGTGGTGGGTTCTGATGTTAGAGCGTGTGATAGGGTCTGTCGGGAAGTAAGACCCGAAATAAAGTATTTTAACATTTTAGTTATAAAAGAACATATCCGTCGGTTTTTTCTAGGGTTAAAACGTCGTCAGTTCCTTGTTATCAGTGATCGAGTTGGGTTTAACGCCGCTATGAATAGTATTCCAGTTATATCACGGCGTGTCGACTTAATGTTGGAGGAAACACCGAAGTGATGCAGGTCTCAGACGTTTACCACTTCGGTGAAACCCATGAGCACGGGTATGGTGTCCTTGTTATCAAAATTTCGGCATACATTTCAACAAAATCTACATCCAAGCAAACATGTTCGTGATGAAAGTCCTCTGTCCGGGCAATAACATTCAGTAATTATGTGTGAACGTGTCATAAACCGCATCATTTTCGTGATTCGAGGCAGTGTAACTGGTACATCTGTTTGTGTGTGTATCTAATTAAAAACAATTAAGGCATATTGAAAAAAAAAAATTCAATTATATTCTTTCAGTCTATTTTGTAAGTGTAGGCCATCGGCCCATGATTACATGTGTATTACAATGACTTGTATAACAGCCACGTACCTTTCGGGATGTGACACGGGGTGTGAACGCTTATAACGATTGTGACACCGTGAACCCGGGCGTGACATTGCCCGTATGTTGGTCCTGATGGTGGATCTAGGGATCCGGTGTCACTCCTCTTGCAGATGCAAAGAGTTGGTTAAAGTTGCAAGGCACTGCAGAACTTTGCCTCAATAATACTGGGGCCGGGGCCGTCAAAGGCAGTACCCAGAGGCGGGCGTTATCCTCTTGGACTTCGAACTGACGAACAATCCTCCGCGCAAAGCGCACCATGACTGGCCTCAAAGCTCCGTGAAGGAATGGAAGACCTTGATACTGAGGCAAGGGCTGTCAGCCGACCAAGGCAGTAGCCAGATGCGGACTTTATCATGTTGGAATTAAATTGATGCACAATTATCCGCGCAATGAGTACCACAGCTGGTGAAGATATTTTGTGTCTGTATGTGACTGGACATTTTTCTGTCTTTGTATATATTTGTGATGATTGCGTGTTCCAGTATGCGGGAATCAACCAACAGGCGTTCACTGTCTGTGCATTTCTCTCAGCTTGGTATCGGCAGCGAGGACACTTATATAGACCGCACAGGTTGGCATCTGATGACTCTACAGTCTATCATGGCGATGTTCGACCACAGTGGGGTAGGTGTTGCTCAGGTTCTTATAATATATGTACTTAGGTGTCAAGTATGGGGGACCGCCTCCGTGGTCTAGTGGTAGAGCGTCCGCCCGGGGAGCGGAAGGTCCGGGGTTCGATCCCCGGCCGCGTCATACTTTAAGACGTTAAAAGACTTGTTGTTACCCTGTCTGGCGCTCGGCATTAAGCGGCTAAAACAAGGACTGGTCGGCTGGGAGTCAGTACACTGTGTCTGAGTGGGGTATTCATGTTAAACTGCGGCATGGTATCTCAGTGGGCTATCACTATAAATCGGCATCAGTCCGGACTAGTACAAGCAGCCACACACACGCACGCACGCACGCACGCACGCACGCGCGCGCGCACACACACACACACACACATTTCACCCCACCATTTCACCTCACCTCATCTCAAGTATAGACCATGTGCTAGTTGTTGTTTATATATAATAACGATAGATTATTCCCCAAAATAGCATGTGGCCAAAAACAAATAACATTAATGCTGTCAGAATAATTCAATACCATAATGCGTGTATTATGCTGTCATTGTGATTGCAGAGAATCATCGACGTCCTGAAAATGGACGTAGAAGGCGCGGAATGGGGGAGTTTACGTCAGATGATCACGTCACGTGACCTGTCACGTGTAAAACAACTGTTGGTGGAGTTCCACTTTGATGGAGAGTTTAAAACCAAAGACATGGGAGTGGCGTTCCTCGATGTCCTAATTGACCTGCATACTGCTGGATTCCGAAAGTTTTACGCTCACAAAAATCCGTTGAAAAATCTAAAGAGTCGTACATTCAGCATCGTTAGAACATCTTGTTACGAGCTTCATTTTGTAAACATAAATATGAATGACAATATGTGAGTGTATTGTGTACACTGTTGTAAATAAAGTAAGTTATTTTCTGAAACAATTGGTAATAATATTCAAAGCAGAAATAACAGTGACTCAACAATGCACAGTATAGTAGTAGTGTAACACTGAGATACTGGTATATGCAAAACATCAGTTTGGTGTTTCAAACACTGTATGTACATAGATACTCAATACTGCAGCATGACACTGTTACTTATATACACAATGCAGCTTAAGGACATGTCTGACACTGTGGGCCTATATACACGGGGACACGGGTGGCCCAGTCGTCTAAGGCGCCGCGATTCGCTGTGCAGAGTTGCGTCCCTTGGGCACCCCTGAAACATATGTTTGTGGGATCGAATCCCGGTTCGCCCCGATTATGTTTCTAGGTTTGTCAGCACCATACCCGTGCTCGTGGGGTTCACCGGAGTGGTAAACGTCTGAAACCTGATTCACTTCCTCCCACATGAAGCTGACACGCCGTGATATAACTGGAAATACTGTTAAAAGCGGCGTTAAACACAACTCACTCACTCTTATATGCACAATACACCTTAAGGATATGTCTAACACTGTGTTAGTTATATACACAATAGTGCTGAAGGATATGTCTAACACTGTGGTACTTGAATACACAATACTGCTGAAGGATATGTCTAACACTGTGTTGGTTATATACACAATACTACCGAGGGATATGTCTAACACTGTGTTAGTTATATACACAATACTGCTGAAGGATATGTCTAACACTGTGTTAGTTATATACACAATACTGCTGACGGATATGTCTAACACTGTGTTAGTTATTTACACAATACCTAAGCAGTTTCGGCTGACCTGTCCATCTTTGGGACTCCTGTGTGTGAGTAGGGTACACATATCTATTGTGAGTTTGGTGTTCATATAATTTCTGTTTTTGCATTGATAGGATTTCTATTTTCTTATATTGATATGATTTCATTTTTATCCTTGGCTGCTCTGTTTATATACGTTCAAGTAGCTGTCCATCTCTCAGAAATAGAGTTAGTTTGGCCTTCGCTATTGCATCTCTTGGCTTTAGGAGATCTATGACAGATAGCGGATCTAACTGCAATTCTTGTTTTAACCTAGCCCGGGCTGGGGCATGGTCTTGACATTTTAGTAACACGTGATCAATGGTTTCAGCCTGATTGCAAGATGAACAAACCTACACAATACTGATGAGGGATATGTCTAACACTGTGTTAGTTATATACACAATACTGCTGAAGGATATGTCTAACACTGTGTTAGTTATATACACAATACTGCTGAAGGATATGTCTAACACTGTGTTAGTTATATACACAATACTGATGAGGGATATGTCTAACACTGTGTTAGTTATATGCACAATACTGCTGAGGGATATGTCTTACACTGTGTTAGTTATATACACAATACTGCTGAAGGATATGTCTAACACTGTGTTAGTTATATACACAATACTGCTGAAGGATATGTCTAACAATGTTTCACTGGTCTCTTACATTTCTAGTTCAGGTGGGTAAATTAGTGAAGTGGAATTCGACATCGACGTTACACGTTTTGGGGTACCGCATTTTTTGACAAACGGAAATAACGTAAAACAGTTGATGAGAGGCGAAATCGTTCCCAATGCGAAAAGAATTGCCATTGGGTTTAAAACGGGATTTCAGTGTTTGACGCCGGGCCGTCAACGATCGGGCTCACAGTCTGTCTGCTTCCACCTCGGTTTTTTTAACCGCATTACATGGCTTTTCTGTCTGCTCATTACCATGTCGACAACTTATACCTCACTAATTGTTTGATAAGCATTACTTAGAAGTTGACGAATGACAGAGTAGACACAATTTATAGATAACAACTTCTGCAATACTGTCAAGGCGACGTTTCTGTATAGATCCTTATACCGTTGTCGAGCAAGACTGAATGAGGATAGAGAGAGTTTTAGTGATTTTACGACCGCTTCAGCCGTCGGCTATTTCGCACTGAATGAGGATGTTGTTGTTGCATTAAGTGTTTAAGAGGTCGCCTTCTACCTAAGCAGTTTCGGCTGACCTGTCCCTCTTTGGGACTCCTGTGTGTGAGTAGGGTACACATATCTATTGTGAGTTTGGTGTTCACATAATTTCTGTTTTTGCATTGATAGGATTTCTATTTTCTTATATTGATATGATTTCATTTTTATCCTTGGCTGCTCTGTTTATATACGTTCAAGTAGCTGTCCATCTCTCAGAAATAGAGTTAGTTTGGCCTTCGCTATTGCATCTCTTGGCTTTAGGAGATCTATGACAGATAGCGGATCTAACTGCAATTCTTGTTTTAACCTAGCCCGGGCTGGGGCATGGTCTTGACATTTTAGTAACACGTGATCAATGGTTTCAGCCTGATTGCAAGATGAACAAACCTTGTCATAGTACTTTTTGTGACCTGAATGAGTTGTTGTTGTTGCATTAGGTGCTTAAGAGGACGCCTTCTGCCTAGGCAATTTCGGCTGACCTGTCCCTCTTTTGGTCTCCTGTGTGTGAGAAGGGTTCACATATCTATTGTGAGTTCGGTGTTCACATAATTTCTGTTTTTGCATTGATAGGATTTCTATTTTCTTATATTGATATGATTTCATTTTTATCCTTGGCTGCTCTGTTCATATACGTTCGAGCAGCTGTCCATCTCTCAGAAATAGAGTTAGTTTGGCCTTCGCTATTGCATCTCTTGGCTTTAGGAGATCTATGACAGATAGCGGATCTAACTGCAATTCTTGTTTTAACCTAGCCCGGGCTGGGGCATGGTCTTGACATTCTAGTAACAAGTGGTCAATGGTTTCAGCCTGATTGCAAGATGAACAAACCTTGTCATAGTGCTTTTTGTGACCAAGTCTGAGGCGTGAGATAGCAGTTTCAATTTTCCTTTCATTTGAGTATGAGTTTGGCTTTTGCTGGACCTTGGGTTGAATTTTGTATAGCCATCTGCCGATCTTACTTGCGTCCCATTGGGTTTGCCATCTTTTTGCTATGGAGGCTTTGATTTTGCTTTTTATCTCTAGTTTACTAAAGGGAATAGGCTGTATATCCGCTTTGTCCAGAGCTAGCTTCGTCAGTGAGTCTGCTTTTTCATTTCCATGAATATCTATGTGAGAGGGGATCCAACACAGGTCCACCTGTTGCCCTTGGTCCGATAGTTTTGTATATTCGTATAGAATATTGTTGACTGTGTTTGGCCTGGAGTTTGAGTTTCTTCCACTGATGGCCTGAAGTGCACTTAGCGAGTCTGATAGGATGACTGCCTTTGCTTCCGGGAGTTCCGGTATGAGTTTGAGTGCATGATGAATTGCCTCCAATTCAGCCGTGAATACTGACTGACCATCGGGCAAGCGAACTGAATGTGCTTGGGGTTTGGAGCTGTGGATATGGATCCCGTAACCAGCACTGTTGTTGATAGGATTCTTGGATCCATCAGTGTATATATGGGCCCAGCTGTCCCAGGTAGTTTGAATTTTAGTGATAGCTACTGATCGTAGTAGGGTTGGGTTTTCTCTTTTAGTGACTTCTGATGTTAAAGCAGTGTCAACTTTGGGAGTTTGTAAAGTCCAGGGAGAGTGTAACCCTTTGTAGTGACTTTCTGGAGGCTGAATGTCATCGCAATTGTGACTTCGAATGAGTTCACGTACTAATATCCCAGATGGCTTTAGTGAGGGATTTTTTCGAGCTAGGGCCTCATCTCGAGTGTTTTTGTCTTGCCATATCTTTTTAACCAAAGGGTTTGATGTTCGTCCCCAGAACGATAATATTGCCTGCTCTCGTCTTAGTTTCAATGGGAGTTCTCCCGTTTCTACTTGTAGTGCTTCTAGTGAGGTGCCTGTCGCTGCGCCTGTGGCCAGTATTAGGGCTTTGTATTGTATTCTGTCTAGTCGCCTCAAGACAGTATTTGATGCTGAGTGAAAAGCCTCACAACCATAGTCAATTTTTGATCTGATAAGAGCTTTGTAGAGGTCCAGCTGAGTGTCCCTCGATGTGCCCCAAGATGTGCCTGAAATTGCCCGTAATACGTTCAGGTCTTTTTGACATCTGTTTTCCACATATTCTATATGCTTGCGCCAAGTGAGGTGTTGATCAGGGATAACTCCAAGAAATATTGCAGATTTTTCGAATTTGATAGGTTTGCCTTTTATGGAGACACGGGGTATCATAGCATCTTTCCCCCGACGTTTGAATAGAACTCCAACAGTTTTTTCACTTGAAAGGGTGAATCCCCATTTATTGCACCATTGATCTACTCCGTCCAGGGCTGACTGGAGTTTTTTTCTGATTTGTGAGATATCTCTGTGCTTTACCCATATTGCTCCGTCATCAGCGAACTTAGAAGTTTGGGTAGGAGAGTTGACATGGTCAAAAAGATCATTGATCATGATATTAAACAGGGTTGGGCTTATAATGCTGCCTTGTGGCGTGCCATTGTCCAGTGCCATAGGATCCGATCGATTGTTCCCAATTTTAACTGAAAGCGACCTGTCTTGCAGGAAGCTGTCTATGAAGTTTGCCATGTTCCCTTCAACTCCATTTTGTGATAGTTTTGAGAGGAGTCCGTCATGCCATACCATGTCGAAGGCTTTGCTGAAGTCCAGAAATACTGCGGCTAGGTATTGTCTGTTTAATTGGGCTTTTTTTATTTCATTTTCCAGTCTTAGAATATGATCTAGACACGAGTGTCCCTTCCTGAAGCCACTTTGGTCAGGTTTTATGTGGTTGCCAGTTTCAAGATGATGCATGAGCCTTTTTGTAACCATGGCTTCCATGGCTTTGCACATGTTTGAGGTGAGTGAGATCGGTCGATAAGAGTTTGGTAGGGCTTCGTCTTTCCCTTGCTTTAGCAGCGGGATAACCGCAGCATGTTTCCATGTTTTTTGGACTTCTCCTTTTGACCATATCGTGTTATACAACTCAGTGAGTAAGCCTTTGGTTTGATCAGGTAGGTTTTTCAATATCTCGTAGCTGGTTGTGTCAAGACCAGGTGCTGTGCCTTTTCTATGTTGTATCGCATCATCAA